ATTGTAAAGCTTGATGTTGCAGTGTGTAGACTATTGCACACGCCGGGATGATATGACATCATTAGAAGTAATTTTCCCCACCATTTTCAATGGCAACATATCAAAACAACTCTGTTTCTCTTGACCAGCTGTCCAAATTCTCATGTCTACATTCAACAAATTTGAACTTTGACCTGCAAATGTACTGGAAGTCCACAGCTCCGGCTACAAGAGTAAATGCATTCCTGAATTTGTTAGTTGCATAATGGGCTTTAAAGGTTTAGTGTGTAGGATTTCAGGGCATCTATAGGCAGAAACTGTATAATATTCATAATTCTGTTTTTATTAATTTACCATCACCTGAAATTGAGTCTACTGTGTTGTTTCTACAGTAGCCCAGAACGGAAAAACCAAAGCTCTAGACAGGGCCATTCTTATTTTTGTGTTCTCCTACACGCTTGGCACACGGAATACAATTCAGTTCTGCAACAGCACCACTAGATGCCACTAGATCCTACACACTAAACCTTTAAGGTAGTTAACAGAGATGCTGAGTGAACATTGGCAGAAACTGGTGAAAGTGTCTGACTGAGCCAAAACTTGGATGAAGCAACAACAAGCTATGAACTCACCAGTGCAAAAGCTTATCTCCTTGACTTTCACAAAACTCCTGGAAGCCCGGGAAGCTCCGATAGAAATCATATTCATCTCCACTTTGAGGCAAGCCGGCGGATGCTTTAGTGGCGGATAATACAGCACCCAGTCCATACTGCAGAGAGACAGACCAAACTGTTAGTCAGTACTTATATGATAAAACATAGTAAATTAAAGTAAAATGCATTGAAGGTGAACACTTAAACGTGATGTTTATATTAAGGCTGGGCAATTCACCCATATTATGCTAGAAATCATCTTGGATTTCGGATGTTGCAGTACTGCAAGTGTTGTCTTCTCTGGTTTTTAAAGGCTGCATTACAGTAAAGGGATAAAATTCTCTGAAATTACCAGACTGTTATAGCTTTTCTATTATTTAATTTTACCCATTTAGTCACTGTATCCACGTCAACAATATATATTTAAAAAGATGTAATTGTGTAAACATTTTGTACATGCACCAATACTGAACCCTACAATATAATTGTTCTATTGATGTTGAAGAATTTGGTCAAAAATATTATTATAATTGATTTTGTCCATATCGCCCAGCCCTTGTTTATATTGCGTTTTACTTTAATGTCTAACAACAATAAAGTAATTCTTATACAGAGAGACCTGGTAGTTTTATATTTGAACTTACATGAATGCAGTGTTTAGACGCTTAGTTGATATTTAACCAGTGGAATTTGTTTGAACACCTTCAAAAAAAAGGCTCAAAACCTGTTTTTTGGACAATCAGACGCAAACATTTCTAGTCAACACAGTATATTGCTAACAGAAACACTGTTGTTGTCATTTCTAGCTCACATGCTGCTAACTTGCTTTACATCCTTGCCTGTTGCCAGGTAGCCAACTCTGCATGGGTATGTATGAAATATCTATTTTATTAACAGCATGGCAAACTTTCTGTCTCATGACTTGTGTGTCAGTGTATATGACTAGTGTGATTTATCTGTTTTTACTCTCTATTGCTGCTTTGCATGTCTGCATGTCTTGCTAATCTGTGTGCTGGTGCATCATGTTGCTTATGTGTCTGTTTGTGCTAACATGCTGTTTGTTGTTGCTGTGTTATTGTATTGTACTGATGCTCTGCTGGTGCTTGTGGCTTTGCATGGCTACCTTGACAATTTCCAACTGCTGTAGTTAATGCTGTCTTCATGCTGTCCTATGAATTTTATCCTTTAATTGGTTTCATAACATCTTGTCAAAGGACTGCAGTTGAAAATTAGCCAGTTGGCTAACACTGTCACATTTACAGAAATGTTTATTAATGTGCGTTGTACTTATCAATAAAATGAAATATATGAAATAAATGAGAGAAAATGTGTCTATAATATTTTTGATAATGACCTATATGAGCTATTTATCTTTAAAAACTACAGACAACTTCTCAAAGTTGTATATTTGCTTGCTTCTGTCCTTTTAACAGCTATCACTTTAGCTAGCTTTGACCTCAGGCACAAACCCAAACTAGTCCCAAGAGAGCTAATTTAAACCAGCACTTTGGTACGTGTCGATACTTTTGTCGAAATCTTTCATAGATAAATTGGTGTCATGTGGACATTTACTGGCAGCACTACAGGAAACATTTTGAAACATTTATTCTGAGACAGGCATATATTTTGGCTAATTAGCGCATTAAACAAGCTCAACTCTCGACTTATACCTTACCATTTATGTTTAATATAAAGATGAACACCTAGTCAGAGCTTGTGTCAACACTTAGCTGTGCATGTTTTCAACTCATAACGTAACTCCAGCTCGTACCCAACAACCACATCCACGTTTCCCCCCTGGCTGCCTGCTAGCCTCAACTCAAAACTCTGCGTCCTGCCTGGTTAGCTCACTTACTTTAACGAAAGCATCCGCGTCTTTAAACCCGGGACACAAGTCGCTTTTTTCTTCGTCGTCTGAATTTGTGTCTTGAGGGCCACTGTTTGTGGAAGTATTACTCTTTGAAGAATCCATCCTCTAATCTGCTGCTGTGTACATGTGAGTTGCAGGAAGCAGCTCTGTTTCTTCGGTGTTTTCTTTTGAGCAACTAAGAAGGAAGCTGAGGGGAGACAGCGCCACCCGACGGCGCGGAGTGGACGAGCCGCGAAATGACAGACTATGTTTTCTGCAGTTTATTGAGATTGTATTGGAAATATTTCGACATTAACACATGTAAAATGTTTGTATTTATAACCGGGCTTATTCTTGATATTTATAGCGGTTATGTGCACTTATTTATTTTGCAGTAATATTATCATTGTCATAATATTGTCATTTTTAACGTGCACAGCTCACTCGTGCATCACGTTTTGTGTTACTGTACTGCTCTACACACCTCTGCAAATTGTCTTCCAGGGACAGATAGTGGTTTGAATTGAATTTTTGGTTGTCTTTGTTTTAAGGTGTTGACTGATGACACTCAGATTGAGATCCAAATCAAGACTGGTCACAAATCTTGCCATTTTTTTTAACGCATGGGCATACTCTGCTCCTCAATGTACCCGCTCAATGCAGTGACACTGCAGACACAGCTTTACTGCCACTATACAGGCTCACCCATCCAACCTAACCAGGGTGTTGCACCAGGATGCTGGTACCACGAGGGGGCAGTATTGACATTTGCAATCTGCAGCAAATAAGCTACAGCATCTGCACTGTGTTGGTGGGCTGTAGGGAGAAGTGATAACCACCAATCATGTCTTAGCCAATATCTCTGTTAAGAGCTATGTAAACCATATCTGAATATCTGCCTTTTGCAGTTTTCCGTAATAGCTATGAGGCGATGCTGCAATGCACTACTCATACACATATATAAACCTTTCTTTCGCAGTGTGATGTGAAAATAAGTTACAGTAGCCCAGTGTTGTGATTCTGCAGTCGATAGCATGTGAAGAGCCATTGCCAAAGTATTGACACACCAGCTCATTATGGATGATCTGTGGTGCGTAGGGAGAAACCTCTCTTTTCTTCACTTCCCCTTCCTATTGATCTCTTCACAGGGTCCTCTCCCTCCTATTATCTTAAAAGCATCTCTGCAACACTGGCTCAATCAATATTTCACAGTAGCTTTCCATGTCATTCCCTTGTTTTAGTCGAAGGCATCTGAACTTCAGCAGATATGTGCTTTAATAATCCAAACAAATGAATCAGTATTCTTTCTAAAAGGCACTGCACAAAGCCGGCTTCTTTATACATTAGTGCTTTGTTTTATTGCGTGTAATTTTTATATTCAAAACCTTAGATTCTCTGCTATGATAGTCCTTATTATATAATAAAACAATTAGTATATGCAGAAAAAGCCTCTGCGAATGTGTTCTTTATCCACTGAATAGGGCATTACTGTTGCCATTTACTCTCATTTAAATGCTTTTTCATAATATTATGCATTTTATAGCTTTGATGGTGCCCCAAGGCACCACTCAAATTCCTCCTGCAGTAAAAGACACTAAAACTGCTGATGCTGAAAATGACACCGTGCCACACATAACTCAAAGAAATCCGAGAGAGAAAAATCCTCAGTGAATTGTTTTTATTAACTCCCTCATTTAGAAAACACAAATGCACCAAACGATATCGTACATGCACAGCTTCAGCATATCAAGATCAGCTGATGACTTTTCAATGTGAAAACGTTACTGCCACGATCTCACGGAGATCACCTGGGACATCAAAATACTGAGGAGTCACAACAGAAAGGCCAAGCGTTGTCACCCAGAGCTCTAATTGTAGTTCTTTATCAGTGTTTGTGGCATTATAAATTTTGGGTAACTTGTTTGTTTCTGATCAATTCTGCCTTTTCTGAAATTGAAAGTAGCAAGAAATTGTAAAGTTGTATTGGTATAAAAAGACAAAAGTACTAGTAGATAATACTACTTGTATTATCTACCGTGCACTGGCCGACTACCTTGTAACAGGTAGCGTTTGTGTCACTGCACCAAAAGGCTGTGTGTGATAGCAGCTGCGAAGAAATGTTTCCCTCTGCTCATGTATTTTTCAGATTCTAGGTTTGACAGAGAATTACAATTGGAAGTGGGACACCACAGGTTGGTCTCCCAGTCGGGGGGCGTTGCTTCAAATCACAACAAAATACATACAGTATGTACAGTTTACTGTATGAAGGCAAGAGAGAGATCTCATCGCACTGGCTCTTAACTGTTATTTTAAAGCAACACTTGACCTTTGTGCAGAAATTTTTGGAAGAAAAATAAATTAAAATAAACAATCAGGAACCATATCAAACATTTAAAAAAAGAAAAAAATCCAAGTAAAAATCAAAACATCTCCACAGTACTGATACGTTACAAAAACAAAGAGGTTGGCAATGCTTCTATGTACCCAAGACACAAGTTCATAAACTGCGTTAATGTTTCTTTTTTTTTTTTTTTTTCAAGTTCATGTAATCAATAAATCAGCCAGAAGGATGCATTTCCTGTGTAAACATTTCGTTAGCTTAACAATGACATTCTGTGATGAAATGTATACAGGTTAACCACACGTAAAGCCACATAAACAACAAAACAGGATTCAAAGACCGCTTTCAGAACATTATTAACACTCGTCGTGGGAGGAAAGCCTTTTGTCTTCACGTTTAGTAAGAACTTGTAACTGACCTGGCCTTGGATTCTGGAGCTGCTTTGCACTTGTTCCTCTACACTGGCAATCCATGGTAATTTGATAGAAAAACAGACGTTTCAACTCCTCCCTCGGTTAAACTTGTTTTTTTTTCCTACCACCCATATTGACCTTGCGTTACTCTATTTGAATGTCAGCAGTGCTTCAGTTGCTGAAAGCCCTGAACCGCGCTTAAGTACAAGGAATGAGTTTAAACACTTTTTTTTCCAAACAGCAGAATGGTCTTCTTGAAAATGGTTATCCATGACACCGTAGGGTAAGGTAACAACCACACACACACACACACACACACACACACACACACACACACACCCTTGAATCTTCCCAGTGTCATCTTGATGGGACTGTCCTGATTTACTCCTCCCTAAATCCTGATAGATTAGTCTTGTGTGGGTGTCATTAGTACCATTACTCCTATGCCCTTTCCCACAGAAGCCCCTCAGGCCTGCTCTAATTCATTAAGATGTTTTAATGTCTGCTAAATCATGGCGCATATCAGGCTTTCCATTCGTCAAGTTGGACTGTTAAATAGACCCTTGTGTTGTGCGCAGATCTATCTGCTTCTGCCACGTGACAGCTATTGAAAGGTAGGTCGAAGCAGGTCTGAATACCTGAGCAGTGGGGGTTTCGCTGAAATACAAAAATAAACAATGACAACACATACCACGCTGAAAAAAATAAATAAAAAAAGCTAATACAACTGACAAGAAAGGACAGATTCACAAAGTATTAAAACACAGCTGACCATACATTTTGCCAAATAATGTCTAAGCTGGTGGCAAGTTTTCAATTATCAGACTGGCACAATTGGCAGCACTTTAAACCCCTTGTCTTGACTGCGATGGCTGATGATGCACAATGACTGGCACGTCTGTGTGTTGTCCAGATGGATGTAGACTAGTAGGGTTCCAACTAATGATTCATTCTTATCAGTCTATAAAATGTTAGAATATTAAGAAAAAATACAGTTTTTCCAGAGCTGAAGGTGCTTTTTAAAAATGTCCAAAACCCAAATATCCCGAATGACGGATACTACGGTGTGATGGTGTCTTATTTCTGACTGGGCATTAAAACCAGACAGGTGTTTGGAGATGACACCACACCTTGTTTGCACTGGCAGCTTATTACGACCCACGTTTACATATATTGTTTTGCGGTGGCTTCCAGTGAAGGTGGTAATTACGCCGTGAGCGAAGGAGGAAGTCAAGTGATGTAGTATAAAGAGCCAGAATTACGCAAAAGCAGGAGGTCGAGTGGTTGAATTGGTTAAAAAATCACAAAAAAACAGGGCTTTGGCCTAGGGCTGGGCAATATATCAACATTATATTAATATCGTGACACAAGAGTAGATATTGTCTCAGATTTTAGTTATCATTATATTGTAAAAGTTGTATTTTCCTGGTTTTAAAGGCTCCTTTAAAGTAAAATGATGTAATTTTCTGAACGTACCGAACGATTCTAGCTGTTGTGTTATTTGCCGTTACCCACTTATTCATTAAATCCACATTACTGGTGATTATTTATCAAAAAACTTATTGTGTAAATATTTTGTGAAGGCACGAACAGTCAACCCTACAATATCAGTATCGAGGTATTTGGTATAAAAATATTGTGATATTAGATTTTCTCCAAATTGCCCAGCCCCATTATGTAATGTCACATTGTGTACTGTTTCGTTACGTACGTACAGAAGTTAAGTAACAATTTTTGCTTAACAAATGTATTTTAACCTAAATTCATGTTCCTAAACATGACCACGCCGGTAGAGGTGCTAATTTAGGAGACGCTCCAGTGGGTCGTACTAAAGGGTAGGAACAAACGGCCTATTTGGTCGCATGGGTTTTCTGTTATAAATGAATGCACCAGTTTTAAATTGATTTGACAAAAATAATCCCAAGGCAAGATAAACTTAACATTTTGAGATCACCTTTCAACCACATCTCAGTTTTCACTGTCAAATGGAGATGCCTCAGTTGTGTTGGAGATGGTTTAGTTGACACACTGAAGTACTTGGGTCATGTGATAATCTGCGACACCTGAGCAAGCTCCACTGGCAGATACAGACGAGGCTGAAAGCTCGTATGTGCACCTTTAAGCTGAAATTAGTTTGTGAAACTTTTGTTCCATAAGTCAAGAAAAAAACATTCACAGACAAAGTCTTAAAACTATTTTCTGTTATTGAAGTTTGACTGCGTTACGTCATGTTTTGAGTGCAATCAGTGAAAGTATTATTTAAAGGAATGGTTTGACATTTTGGGAAGTATAGTTATGTCAGTAGGCGGTGAGTGTTTACAGCTGATTAAGCGGAATGTGAAAGTGAAAAGCCAGCTGTTATAGCGAGGGGTGAGACGCGATAATTGTTTTAACATGGGGACTTTTTTTGTTATTTCTGTAAAAAACAAAAAGGGGATGTAACAATTGTTATTTAAGTAAAAGTCTGACTGAATGTTATTTGTATTTTTTGACATATAGCAGTTTGTTGGCATGTGACCGCAGTATAAAGCAGGATAATACACTCTGAGTTGGATTCCTTGGAGGCAAATGGATTGCAATCGAACGTACACCTTTGTCGAGTATGTTTGGCATTTTTTCCTTGATAAATGACTGAGATGACTTGTTGTTGATTATATTCCGCCGATTGACTGATTGTTTCGGCATTAGCGCTGAAGGAAATACACTGGCAGTCGTATACCTCTCCCACCACTGCTGTACACAGGCAGATGCAATCTTCGTGAATGCAGAGTAAAGTCCAATCCATCAATCAGCGGGGCCATCACAATAACTGGTCTGAGGCTCTCAAACCCGTAGGAGCCCTCATGGCACACATTCAGCTCTCCACACTCAAATGATAGAAGGTAAATGGCTAACACCACCGGCACTGTGAGCTGCTTTATGACTTTCATCTGGGACGACTTTTAATGGAGCACGTAAAGATGAAGGCGGCTGCAGTGTGTTCTGAAACACTGACTGGTGTCTGTAAGAGACGGCGTTACAAGAATCTCCAAAGGCACGGGCACGGGTGAATGAACATGTTCCTACTCGCCAATTCAGATGTGGAGAGGAAAACTGAAAACATTCAAAAATACAAAATGCACCTTCTCATCGCGACCCTTCGGCAAGGTACACAGAGGCCTTCGATAATAAGAAACTGTGAGGACTAAAATGTTGAGGAAAGCATGTAGCTATCTTAGCAATAACAACAAGAAGGCTGAAACTACTTTGGCACATGGATGGAAGTAAGGCATCTGTATCAATCTAGAGTCAAAAAAAAAAAACCTGTTGAAATGGAGCATTGTTCCCAACCGGCAAAAATGTCAGACCTGCGTAGAAAAAAAAAGCTCAAGCATATACTGTTAATTAAGTGCCTGACAGCACGCTCCACTCTTGTGCTGCCTCATACCTGCAATCTAACACTGCAAAATAGCATGTGGTCACCTCCAAAAAATGAGAGATACTCAAGAGCAACTTTCACGACTTAAAAGTTAAAATAAAAAGAAGAAGAAGAAGAAAAAAAATATTGATAAGAAGGTTGAAAAAACAGAGCAGAGTTTGTCATTGTGTCACGATGTCGACCTGAATGTTGATATTGCGATGGCGAGGAGCAGGGAGAGGGGGGAGATGTCCGCACTCCAGGCTCTCGAGCCGCGGGCACTCATACCTGAAACACACACACAAAAATAAACACGATAAACTGATGTGAAACCCGCTGGAGGAAGCGGACTGTTGGCAGTGGCAGCGACACTTCAGGATATCCATTTTATTCCTTATCTTAAGTTTGAGCTCTCTGCTGTGTCACCTGCAGATAAAGCTGAAAACACATTTGCAAAAAAAAAAAAAATAAAATAAACATTCAAACTGAAAATTAGATACTTAAATTTCCAAATCATAAAACATGCATGGTGATGTTTCACAGGGGTACTTAAAATGTGGTAAAAAAAACAAAAAAAAAAAACAAAAAAAAAAAAACTATTTATGTCGTGGCTTGTGACTGGGATTGTAAGTAAAAAATGTATTAAGGGATTTGGGTGTAAAGGGACCAGGAGCCTGATGCAGTTTGCTCTCATCACTAGTTTCTCATGTATGATTTAAGCAAGTCAATTAGCTCTTATGGATCACTGACTATTTCCCTGTAATGACATCCATATAAAAGCCTTTCCTGGAAAAAAATATATTATTTATGCAAAAGAAACCTCCTGAACCACTTCTGATGTTTCAGAGCTACTAGTTTCTATAAACACACAGCACTCTGTTTTGCCTGCTAATGTGTTTTGCCCACATCTTTTTCTTTTGCAGTACCCAAAGAATCTCTGGGACAAAAAAGCAGCCTTTTTTTATTTATTTTTTTCAAATGAAATTTAAAAGAAAAGCCAGCGTGGAATTCTATCTCTCTCAACTGCTGTTTTCAGGGATTCAACACCGAATATCAACAATGCAAATTAGCATTTAGAGCAGGAGAAGAGCCCCCCTGGAGTCCCACAGGACAGTAATAGCATCTAGTAAAAGAGGAAGTCAACCTCTGCGACAGAGATGGATTGCGCTGCATATTTCAGCAAAATGTAAGCTGGGAAGAACCTAACGAGGGCGGCTGGGGACACGGGTAATGGTGAGTCAACGGAGGACAAAATGTCCCTGTCAGGTTTAAAAAGTGCTAAGTGAATTCATTTACAAGCGTGGGTGAATAATAAAAAACAGAAGTTCTGAGAGGCTCAGGTGCTGGTGAGTCTGTGTGTCAAATGTTGCCATTCTGTTGTGTTTCTCCAGAACATGGTGGCGTCAGCATATTTCAGCGCTCTGGCTGGAAACTGAAGATATACTTTTCCCTTCCATGTGAGTGGGAACCCAAAGATGCAGTCAGGGGTGCAAGCAGAACTCAATCTACTGGGGGCGTAAAGATCCATTGATCAGATGATCCAGTGTCATCAATATCGATCCATATCATCATCCTTATGTTATGCCTTTGTCTTGAAATCCCCATGGCTCATCTTTGTCACCGTCAAACGGCGCCAGCCAGATAATGGCAAGTAGCCAAAAAAAAAAGAAAAAAAAAAGAAAAAAAAAAAAGATGATGAGCATATTTACTCCCCTCTCAGGAATAAATCAGCAGTATGGAAATATTTTGGATTTCGGAGAAAAGACGGTTCAACAGTCAGCGCACATGCCATATGCAAAAAATGCTGTCACGAGATAAAATACGTCAAACCTGGCCAGGCGTCTCACACTGTTAACTTGTCGCTCTCACTACAGAGTCATTAGCTGCTCAGTTTCAACAATATTAGGTTGAAACACCTGCATGCTAAAATTTCTGTCAGGAGATACAGTGAGTTAAAGGTCCAGTGTGTAAGATTTAGTGTCATCTAGCAGTGAGGATTACAGATTGTAACCAGCTGAAACTTCTCCTGGTTAGAATTCCTTCCATGATCTTTGTTCATGAGGTTTTTACCGGGAGCCTAATTATCCACAGAGGTCTCTCCCTCTCCAAAACAAATGGACCTGATAACTTAAACTGGTAAGCACACTGAATAAAGCAGTTTCATGTTACAAATCAGTGTTTCTTCTATGGTGTTTGGCATGTCAGAGACAGGCTGCTCGCCCAGTAGCTGCTAATCTGTGCTCACCTTTTTTCTTTGATAATTTAAGATCCTCTGATAACTGCAGAGGTCTCTTCATCTCCAAAACAAACAGACCCAGTGATTTAAATTGGTAAAAAAAACCCGAAATAAAGTGGATTCACATTGAAAAATTGAAGTTTTTCTGATGTTCTCGTCGATGAGAGGTTGCTAACTATGGTCCTTTCTAAGCTACTGTAGAAACTAGGGTTGCAACGATCCATTGATCTGCATCAATATATCAATTCTATGATCAGTGATCCAATGTCATCGATGCAAAATGAAAACATCGATCCATAACGTCATCTTTGGAATATGCCTTTAGTTTGAAAGTCTTTGTCACTGTCAATCTGAGGCAGGCAGACAAGAGAATACGATAAGGATAATGTTTATTTACTCTGGAATAAATCAGCAGTGTGTAAATATTTTTGATTATTAAGAAAATACAGGTCAACAGACAGAGCACATAGCGTAGGTAAACAATGCTGTTGACGAGATAAAACATGACGTAATGTTACCTACCAGGAAGGACATCCCACTCTGCTAACTTCTCAATAGCAACATTAGCTAATCTGTTTCAACAACTGTAACTGAAAAATGTGTATGCAGGCTAAAATTCAACACAGCTGTTTTGTCAGGTGGTACAGTGACTTAAGCCACAGGTGAGGAAGAAAAATAATAACATTACAGGCTCTAGTTTCGCAGACCGGGCGAGGCGGGAGCGCAGCGCACCTGTCTTTCCCACCTCCGTCCCTCCTACCTGCGCAAGTCAGAAAGAGGGAGGAGAGAAGGCGTGGAGTGGGTTTTACACACATCACACCAATCAAAGGAGCCCCTCTCCTCACCCTTAAATGCACCACGTGAAGCCGTAATGAGAGTTTACTCAATTCGCCATGGCAGAAGAGAGCAGCAGCGTCAGATGGCCAAACTTCTCCCAGGAGGAAACTGATGTTTTGGTCCGGGAGGTCTGCTCTCAGTGTCTGAATATACGGAACTGCGAGCAGACCTCCACGGGCTGATGATGCAAAGGTAGCCTGGGAGGAGGTCACCACAATTGTAAATCAATGTTGGGTTTCTCTCGTGCGCGCGCGCTCTCTGTTTCTCTCTCGCAGTCTCACTCTGTTTCTTTTCTTTTGACTTTTCTAAGATGACAGATGCTGAATATATACTCCCTATCTGATGCTGTGGCTGTTTGTGGTTGGCTGAGAGGGATGTGAACTCATTATTTTGCAGCTGTGTTAATCAAATCAGGTTGGGTTTCCATTACGCGTGCCAAACGTGTCAAACGGTGCCAATCCCCTTTGATCTGACATCAGATGTGACGGGACAGTCGATACAGAGATACATTTATGTGCTGATTGCAGATAGTTGCATTGAATAGTGTTTTTTGGGTATTTATTGCATTGTTAATGTGCCTGACATTCTGGAAACCTGCCTGTGAGGTTTTGGTGACGTGTGCACACTGTCTGCCGGTCAGCCAAACTTTGGCTTACTCCGCCTACACTGACAGCAGACCTGGTTTCAGCTGGTGAGCTTTTAGCGCACCTTCGGCAAAGCCCTTTGGCACAAAACTGTCACTGCACCAAGCTGGATCTGTCGACACCTCCCCCTGCTGCGCCGCCACACCCATCTCAGCGCACCTCGGTCTGCCAAACTACCAAACTGAGCGCACCTCGGGTTGCACTGCTCGAAACTAGCTCTGCGCGGGGTTCACCACCCTGCGCCACCCTGCGCTGCGCTGGGAAACTAGAGCCCTACATGTAAATTTTTAAGCTATAAGAAGTGGAAAAAATGTCCGCTAGCTAGGCTAACTTATGTCAACACGCTAAAGCTAATAATGGGTGACTAGATAAAAACAGTTGTTTTCTCTCTTTCTTGACAGTTATTACTGAGCTGAGTTTGATACTTATATTAAATGATGTTGTTGTTAATCCATGTTTTATAAGGCTGTTGGGAGACATTTGCCTTCAGGGCTTTAAGACAAATAGACCTGGAATTTTAGGAAAAAGATATGGTGTGGGTTAAAACGAAAAGTTCTCTTTCAGAAAGGTCTCTCTGACAGAAAGCCCTGAAGATTAGCTCATCCCATGTGCTGTTTTATGTTAGTAGAGCCAGTTTAAAGTAGACTTTACTGCCCTTGAGCGTTACAGTTACTTACATTATTTATGTGTTGTTTTTATTTTTATGGCCAAAAGCAAAAAAAAAAAGGGGCAGCTGTGTCTTCTGTGACAGATTGTGTTATATGGACAGATGACATTGTCTCACGTTGATCACAGGCCTTAATCACATCGAATCGAAATCGTATCGTGACAGAGTTTGTAATAAGAATCAATATAATATTGTATCATGATGAAACCAGTGATTCATACACCTAGTAGAAACATGGCGATGCAACATAGACAAGAAGCGGCTCCCTATATAGACATAAACGGCTCATTCTAAGATAATGAAAACACAATGATTTTTATTTTTAGGTGATCATACATTAAAGAAAACATACTTATTATATTATATTCCATTTCTGCCAATACATTCTCCCTAAATCCTTCACATTGGACCTTTAAACCAACAATGAGTAAGAAAGAATATAAATAATATATATAACTTATTAAACTATGAGTAGAGGAAAAAGTCTGCGAGGCACTAGACTGATTTACACAATGTAAAAGTGTTTAAGCTAAACTGATGACTAGCCAAAAAAGACAACCATCTTTTTCTATGAACCTTGACAGTTGTTTTCTACTTTTGTCACAAGTTGCTGTTAAGCTGTGATTTATTCGTGTTAATGGAATCTATTTAAAGCCATCTTTATTGCACTTAATTGGGTTCAATATTTACAATTATTTATGTGCTGTTTTTGTTTGTTATAGACAAAGTAAATAGAAAGGGGTGGCAGCTTCTTGTGTAACTGATTGTTTTGAATGGGCATATGACATCATATCATATCTATCGCATGCCTCTTCATTAAATCAAATCAAAATTGTATTGTGGCAGACTTTGTGATGTGGAGGAAAGTATTGTCCTCCAGATAATTTATGACATTGACAAAACTAGTTACTGACACAACCAGTAAACTATTAATCACTACAGCTTGATAAACTGTGAACAAGGAGCTTACTTAGTTGGTGGATTCGTACGGGATCTGAGGCCGGGCCCAGCCCTCCTTCACTCAGCGTCTGAATATGGATGATGTAGTCATCATCGTCCTCTGGGAGGGTCAGCTCCACTGTTGAGTTGGTTGTTGTGAGAGTGTTTACTTCTTTGTGTCTCTGTCTCCTGTATGACAGCTGAGAGGGGGGAGGGGCGAAACAAGGTGGGTGACACATTGTAAACATGTATTCTAACAGCCTGACAGCTTAGAGTGAGCCGCCACACAGGTTAACTTCCGCACTTTCACTCAGTCTGATGCATAATAGGAATAAACATGTTACTGCGGAGCACACTGAGAGAGTAAAACTCACTTGGTAGCCCGTAACTTCTGACTCCGATTCCATTGCCACCACAGGTTCCCAGTAAAGAGACAGCTGAGAGCCAATTAGGGTCCATTCGACATTCAGCGGTGGTTGAGCTGGTGCTGCATAATATAAAAATAATTCATTTCTATATGTCAGCACGGAAACATATTACTGTCACATCATTCTACAGAAATGACCATATTTCTCTGTGAGATAATACTAACTTCAAAGAATAACATTAAGGGTAGATACAGTTTCTACCACCTGACTTGAATTATAATGAGTGTGGTGCAAAATCAAACACCTGAGGAACATCGCGTGGGTGCTGCAACTTACGTGGCTTTTTCGTGGTGACATTGATTGCCGGGAGGAAGGGGCCAGTGCCTGCTGTGTTGAAGGCGCTGACTGTTAGGAAATACTGCGTGTTTCCTGCCAAGCCGCTCACTGTGACTGAGGTTTGGTTCCAAGGCACCCTAACCTTCCCCATGGTCTCCGGTTTAGTGTCATCCTCCCAGTATACCACCTGTTTGAGACGGAGAGCGTGCCATCTGGGATTTAACCTTGTTATATTGCTTTGGATTGGAGCAAAAAGCATACATCAGAAGGGTGCATTTTGAATCACACAGATCACAACAAAGTATTAGTAGTTGTTTTTTGATGTCTTGAGAGAAATGTTGTTAAGTGATCGCCTCTGGGTCTATTCTCTTAAGAGAGATCACAATTTTCTTTTACCTTTCCAGCAGGATATCTGATCTGACATTACAAAGCCTTTGTTAATGTACTTTTATAACTCCTTGTTTAGTTATGTTATGTTTAGAACAACAAGAGGGAAGAAATGACTCATACTTTTTCCGAATGGTTAAACTACTGATATTTTAGAGTAAATAATAAATGACTTAATCATTAAAGCTGCAATAGGTAACATTTATAAGGATAACTTTTTGTTTTATTTGCTGAAACTGTCAGTATATTCACACAGAAGTATATGAGACAGATGATCGATCCCTCTGCCCTCTCATAAGAGTGTATTGGCCTTACCGCACAAGAAAATCAGAGCAAACACAGCTGTCAATCATGTCAGTGGCTGCTTGTGAACTGCGGTCAAACTGTCAAACCAGGAAGTGCCGATCAAATGTCAAATCTCTGAGATATACCACTAAAAAATGTGAAAAATATTGGAAAAAATGGAAATCTTATTTGAACTTCGAAGTGATCTTTTATTTATATCTTTATTTTGGCTGGTGAATTTAGATTTATTCCCCTTGGTATTAAGACATACAGGATGGACTATCACTCATGAGTAAGTGGAAGTTTTCTCTCTCCTTAAAAATACCCTGGTAAGCAAAGTCAAGGATCATAAGGACCTACGTGATCTTCAAGGACGATCGTGGACATAAAGGATCCATTATCTGTGATCATACAGTGTAACCTTGCTTCTCCTCACTTTCTGTTTAACAAGATGTTAAGCAATTCACTTTTACCCATGATGTCCCTGCCTGTTGGTATTGCTTTTGTCTGCTTTTTTTTTACTTTGTAAAAAGTAATAAAAATATTGTATGAAAAAAAAGATTCTGTTATTTTATTAATCAGCTGTTTTAAATTGAGGAAGTTGGTCTGGCTGGTGGGTTGTCCTTGGTGCTTCACTCAAATATTTCCAACATGGAGGCTGGGTCACAGACTCTCTCATTTTACAGCTAAACAGTACACTAAAATACGTTTCTAAAAACACTGGAGGCAAGAGAAAGGCAATGCAGTAACAGAATCTTGAATCATATTTGAGTAGAGCTGGGTCAATTTCCAGTTTTGCCGATCTGGTCTGGTCCAGTCCGGTGTACCAGTTTAAACTTGCTTTATATTTTTTTATATTTCAATATCTTAAGTACTAGTGTTAAACACTGTAGCACAATGCACAGTCTGTTTTAATTAAATTTTATTTTATTGCTTTATATTTACATACTTTTATTTCATACTCTTATTCTTACTTCTTATAAATCTCTGTTCTTTACATCGGTGCAACTGTAACAAATCACAGTTTCCCCTCGGGGATCAATAAAGTATTTTTGATTCTGATTCTGAAAGGGATTAATGGAGCCACAGGTGTCTGACAGGCTGCGAGCTGAGGCCGGTGTCGGCAACATGAAGGAGATCACATTGCAGCAGAGGTGGGAGGAACAGAGCAGCGCACATGGTGTTTGTTAACAACAAAGTTCGTGTGGTTTGGGGTGATGAGAGGAGACATGGCAAGAAAACTAAAACTGCATCAATATGGCAACAGTTTGGATTTGAAGCCAGTGAAAGTGGTGTCCTCAATGGCAATGCAGTGCTGCATTTCTATTTATATCTGTCACTTGCTTTGAAAGCTCCATATTGGACGAGGAATGGCTCATTCATGAAGTTAAAATGAGGAATTACCTACATGAAACTAGGGGTGGCTCCACGATACGATATTATCACGATACTTAAGTCACGATACAATATTATTGCAATTTTAATCTTTAGTACTGCGCTAAAATATATTGCGATTTATTAAGTTTTTTCAGGTGCAAATTACTGTATGTCCCCAAAGAAAATGGTTTTCAACGTCAGTTTTATCTTTTCAGGTAAAGTTTTTCAGTCTGTTTATCCCACTTCAGTAATTTTTATTGCAGTAAAATGTATTTAGTGGACTGAAAAAAGATTATATTATTTTAGTAGGCTATCAAAAGTTTAATTTGTATTGTAATACTAATTATTTCTATTAAAAATATCGATACTTGACGTGTAATGATAAGATATTGCCACACAAAAATATTGCGATACTGTGCTGTATCGATTTTTCAGATTTTTCGATTTATTATTTCACTACAAAAACCAGAATAAAGTGTCAACTGGTTGGAAGGAGATGGACAGGGAGCTTCTGGTGAGCTAAAACACACTCGCTAATAACAAGCTAGGCTACTTGCTGTTGGCTATACTGTACATAATTTCCATTAAATATCACAATATAAAATGTGTTTTCTGTTTAAAAAAAGTAACGTTACAAACGTAGGAAACAAACTAGTAGGCTACTCAGTTATTTTTTTTATGGGTCATGTCTCCAGTCTAATCCCCAGTAAACAGCTGATATTTGCATGATTTGTTTACATGAAGTAGGCCTAACTTGAATTCATGGATTCACTGTGGACAGAGAGCGCCAATGTTACGTGATGTGACGCGATAGTCAGAGGCTTGTTTGCTGTTGGGACAGGGTGTCATTATGTTCCACTCATGAGCAGCGACACCTGACAAAATTTGGTATACCAGTGTAGTGTTTGGTTTAATATCAACCTGGTTCGAAAAATCTTACACTATCTCAACCCTACTGCTGAGTTTGACAGAGGCAATAGGATGAACAGAAGAATCATGATTTTTTTATCTATATGTCTCATAAAACAATTTGTGCATGCAGTGACAGTTTCAGCAAATATGACAAAAAGTTATTTTCACAAAAGTTACCAACTGTGGCTTTAAAATATAAAAAAAAAAAAAAAAAAAAAATACAAAAAAATGCCCTTTATAATTTCCTAAAGCCCAAAACCATCACTTTCTTCGCCCAACCAGCACTTGAAAACACAAAGATATTTAATTTGCAATCACATAAAACAGATAAGTATCATATTATCATCAGTATTATCTGCTCACATGTGAGCAGTAGGACCACTTCTGCATTTTTGCTTGATGATTGAAACGATTCATTAATTATCTAAAATTAACAATCAAGAATTCTTTGTCGCTCGACCAATGGATTTATTGTGTAATCGTTTCCGAGCTACAATACATCATTCCATGTTGCGTAATACGGCATGTAATATTTATTTTTCCACTAATGCAAATCTCGCTAATTATGATATGCATTTAAATGAAAATATTACAGATCAAACACCAGCTCAAGTTCCTAATCATAAAACAAGAGACTATTTTACCCATCACACTGAAGATATACTACCCAAAACGACACCCATCCCCCCACCCATCTACCTTCCAGACATGATTATTAAATGTTGGCTGATGCTGAGCTTGGATATGAAAAGGCACAAAAGCTCCCGTTCCCAGATGGAAATACTGAAACAACTTTGGTTTCACTGAACAAAAGAATGATAACAACATCTTATAATAAAGCGCTTTGATCACCCTGATGATTCAGTCTGAAGGATGCAGGCAGGGCAATCAGACTGTCCCAGATTTTGAAAGTAAAATAGAAAGCAGCGGTTTTGGGTTTAAAATGTAAAAGTTTAATATTCCTGTTTTATTTAGTGAACAATGAGATCGATTCCTGAGGTGCTGCCGTGTTATACCGTGGAAACAAACAACAGGAGACAGTGCTCTGTATCATCACACAGCTTTCGGTGTGGCACGATGGCATTTCTTGGTGTTCTGACACGAGGTCTGGCATTGCAGCACACACTATCATGAGTTCCGTATCATGATACCCGGTTACTGACAGCGACTTGAAAAGGCATGTGGACAAGCAATTTTCTTTTGTTCTCTTGAAAATGCTCTGACATGTTTTCCTGTCGTGCTGGTACAAAGAACTGTATAATTTTGCCTATAACAGTCACCCAACTGAAACTGCCATTTCCATGGCGACCGACGCGGAGTTTGGAAGTGATGGCTTTGAGGTACAACAGGGGCGCTGACAAGCATTTGAATTGTGTTGTGTGTGTGATTTCTATTTCCATTTAAAAGGGTAAAATGTACCTCATAGCCCAGAACCCTTTCAGGGGTGAAGGAGAGAGCCTGCCAATTCACCTCAATCTCAGAGGCTGAGACACTTCTGGCCCAAACTCCCGCTGGCATCCCGCTCGGCTCTGAAAACAGACGACAGGAGACTGAGCATCGCTGCCGTCTTCCAACAGCACAGAGACGGGCAGAACAAATCTCTTCAATTTTTACATTTATGACTGTGCGGCGTTCTTGTTGATCTCTACTTGGATGAATCATCACACACAGGTGCTGCTGGTAAATAGACCAACACTACACTACAGACTGACCCCCTCTCAGCATGCTGAGAGGTAGCATAGATCTAAATGCCAACCGGTTTTCACTTCAGAATAGCCATTCAAAAGAGTGGTGATATTTGGAGGCAATCTGCCCATCCTTACATAAATGTGTTGCAAATTTTTTTCCAATTTTCCTACCCTTTTATTTAAAGCAAAACCACATCTACAAATTCATTTTTCCTGCATGTCTCTTTATCCATCAGGCGCTTTCAGCCCAGTGGATGCGATAAAACGTTCATGATCTTTGTCCTTTTCAAAAACACAGAAAGCTTTGTAGCTTTGCAAAAACCCCACTCACGTCCATTCCCTTACCTATCTCTGCAGAGTAGATGGTGACCACGGGGCTGAAGGGACCCTGTCCTTTGCTGTTGTAAGTGCCAACCTTGACATGAAATGGAGAGAAGGGCGCGATGCTGTCGTTGCGGTACACGTAGCGCGATGCGCCGGGGGCAGAGGTGGCCACATGAGTCCAGCTAACTTCTCCAAAGGCGCGGAAAGCAATGATGTAACCAAAGCTCTCACCATTCTGCAGTTCTTCGGGGACAGGCTGAGAGTGAAACACAAAACTATAGTGATATTAAAACATATACAAACCACTCACGTTCATCCCGCCGCTGGGCTGACACAATCACCACCCACTCGCGTGGTGCCAAAAGAAGTGCGCGACCCACAAATTGCTTTTGTGACCCACCTGACGAAATGAAATGAGCAGTAAAATGCCATTTTGAAAAAAAATCCAAGCTCATTACAAAACTTCCGTGCAGCTTTTATAATGAAAAGTTATTTCTGCATTTAATGAAATGAGAAAACTCAAATAATGAGATAGCTTTAGCCGACTAATGACTTCTTCAATATCCACATTATTCTATTATTTTTCAACTACCCGACTGGTTTACTTCATTGCTGGATTTGAGCATTGCAGATTAGGCTGAACAACAGTAATTCACCACAGATCCAAGCCTCATAAATGACAATAACTGTCAGGTTAAGTGTTCTGCTTGTGTATACATCGTTGCTGCCTTACATGCAGTCTCTTTAACTAAGAAATTACAACGACTGCAGCGCCAGACTTCAATTGACCCAAAATTTATGACACCCACAAGCCAAACAGAGCAGGGGGGTTGATTTAGCGAGAAATATTAAGCACCTCACTCAAGGATAAAAAAGATTAACTGCAGGCACTTTGAATAACAGACTAGAACATAAGACTGATGACTTACCTCCCATGTGATGACCAGTTCCGATCGGCTTCCACCTCCTCCACCCACGTCACCTGGCGCTGCATCAGGAACTACACAACACAGACCTTGTTCACACCTCCATATGAGAAACACTTTAGGCTTCACAAAGTTTCTACTTTGAGGTGTTTTTATTTGAGGGGGCTAATGTGAATCACATTTACTGTACCTGCGTCCTCTGTCCTGGTCTTGACTGACACAGGGCTGGGTTCACCAACACCAACACTGTTTTTGGCCAAAACCCGAAACTCATACTCCACCCAGGCGTTGAGGTCCACCACTGTGGCTGTCAGTGTGTTCCCATCGATTATCTCAGGGACTGGGAGGAAACAGAAAACATATAGTGTGTATACCAGGGGCGATTGCTCTGAGACAACAAGGGAGGCTGAACTTCCCCTAAAATTTCATAGAAGAAATGGTCAAATATGCACTATTGAATTTACATTAAAATAAGAATTTACATTTCATTAAACGTGCGCAAGGATGCGTTTAACATCACGACTATGATCAAAAGTCAGCTGTTTATCACCAGTTTTCAAACGTGACCTCCCTGTCATACATTCTCGTCTCAGCATGTTGGACGCGGAGCCTCCAAGCATTCCTATGAGACAGCGCTGAGCAGGTTTTTTTCATGCAGCAAAGCGAGACAGTCATTGGATAAATGCAACAAAATCGTCACTTCCAGGGAGGCTCAGCTTCCCTGGGACCTAATGGAGCGGTAGGCGGGAGAGGACGCTCGGTGTATGCATGATGATTGGAGGAATTGTCTAAAAGGCTGAACCCCTTTGTGACTGACAGCTCTTTGGAAATACACACCGGCATCGTCGCATTTCGAACTCAGTCCCATGCGGATATTTGCGAGTGGATTCTTCTGACAGAGTGCCGTCCGAAGTTCCTCCACAGTTCAGGTGTTTAAACCCATCTGAAAATCTTTGAGGTGTGTTTTGCTGTGGTTCTATGGCATGAGTGTGGTTGAAAAACGGCTTCAATTAAATGTTCCTTTTATAAGTTACTGCCTCGCTACAATATGACAGATTTTATGATGTAAACTTAAAGTGTGCTTCCCCTGTTTGAAAGACCAGCAGCCGCCACTGGTATATACATAGGCACAACAATAGCTTAGCATGTGGAATAAAACTAAAACAAGAGAACCAAACCTTTTGTAAAACTTCTATTATTTAATTCAATCGTAAAACTCAACCGGCATGTATATTCAATGAGCCTTTAATTCCTTTCACACAAAACTCTTGCTCAGCAAAGATGGAAAATACGATCAAATTGTTCATTTAAATCAGTATGGATATTACTTGTATAAAATTTAGGCTCATAACACATCAACTACATATCATTCATGATATCATGAGCAACACTGTCTGCTACAGCGTGGCACATATGAAGACATCAAAACACATATGAAATGTCATGCCAATAAAGCCTACTGAATTGAATGGAAATTGAATTGAGAGACAGAGAAAGACAGAGTGTTATAACACTGGTTTTACAGCACCCAGCATACCAACTTGGATTAATTTTTCTGAAAAACATTTTTGATTCTTTTGATCGGTGGACCCTTACAGACTAAAGGAATACTGATAATCAAGGAATGGACACTTGTGCTTCAGAGGTAGAAATCCACCACCTTTTTCCGTCTCTCTTCTTTACCCTGCCAAAATCTGAGTGAATCGCAGTATTTTTTGGTGCTCATGGATTCAGTAAAATGAACTGAACATATACACTATGGGGAATCCAACCGAGCTAAAGATGTGTAGCATCTCTATATTGACAAATATTTACACCCTTTGTATGTGCCGTCTAAGCAGCTTGGCAGTTTAAGTAGCTAAAGCGAGTAGCAGGCAAATTGGTGCTTTTCAAGAGGTTTTATAGATAGACAGATATTTATTAGTCCTTTCAGAAATTTGTTGTGTGCCGTACAGCAACCGTCAGATAAATAAATGACTATAATTACACCGACGACAACAACACCCGACAAAACATCAACAACAGGGTACCTCTTCCATATCATAGAGCTATTCACCACATATCATTAAAGTGCTCTACAGATCATAAGGTGCAGGATCCTCACAAACAGAGAGGTTCACAGTTTGTTCAACAAATATATCCAAAGAACTTCTACAAAAAGGAACTGCTTCTTTAATAAGCAGACCCAGCGTCTAATTGAGGCTGGCTTTTGTTAGTGTAACAAAAGGGGACTCAGTGTTTAATTGGGACTTTAAGTTGAGGATTTTTAGTACACACAATCACAAGATAATTAAGTGAAAAAGACAAATTATGAACAAGTATGTTTTGTGATCAGTGTGAGTTCAGCTTTGGTTTTGAGTCTTGACTGTCAAAGGTCTGCCAGAGCTAGAAAATCTTGCTTTTCTTGCCTTGTGCGTTGCGGCAAAACCTTAAGATAAACTTTTAAACTGACACGCAGCTGTGAAGGAGAGGTCTTCACTGGTCTATCGGACCCTGGGCCCAGAGACCTGACCTGGGACGCATACAGGTTTGAGTCCACGTTTTATTATGGTCAGTCAGGTCCGGATTGGGTCCCATTCTATTATCTTTATGTGTGAATCTAAAAAAGAACCATGATGAGCACTGATCACAAGAGAAACATATATGCACTGTATGTGTGATGATGAGGCTGACTTAGGATGGGATTAAGAGAGCAAAAGGAAGGTGGAAAAAAATGAGCAGAAACGCAAGCAAGTTGGAGGTGCAGCTGAGAAAAGACGGAGCGTGAACCCAACAATATTTACAACTAGGATTAATTTTTTTTGAAAAACCTTTTGACTCTTTTGATTAATGGACCCTTACAGACTAAAGGAATATAAATAATAAAGACTTTATAACCATTCAAAGTTAGGGAGCGTCCACTTTTTCACATCTATTTTTTAGCATGCTGGTAAATCTAAATGAATTATACTTTGGTTCTCATGGTTTCTGTAAAATAAACTCTACGAGTGAATTGTGGAGAATCTAACTAAGGTAAGCATGTGTAACATGTCCACGTTGACAAAAACATTTATTTTTGTATGCACAATCTAAGCCACTTAAAACTATAATAAACTGGTTCGCTGGTGGGTGTGACAGCAGCGCACATCATAACAACAAAGTAAGTGAGAGTAGAATAAAGTAAAATAAAAAAAATACGAATCTCAAATATTATTAAATATCATATACAGTAAAATGGGTAAGAAGAGTATGTTTTATCTGACATGACAAAATGTTTTTTGGGAGCAGAATGGCATTTTAAGTAGCACTTTTAATCACCAGGTTTGTCGGGTTCATAAAATAGACCCGACACCCAGATCTCTCTCCTCTTAGACATGCACCAGGTCAGGTCTAAAATATCTATCTACCTGCAAAGAGAGTCAGGTAAATACATTTTTAAAAACTGTTGTGTTTAATGAGATGTCAGAATGAATTTCCTGAGACCCATTAGGGTTCAGGTCTGTCATTTTTGACCCGTGAAGACCCCTAGTGTGGAGCTGCCACCAGATACGTTTGACCTTAAAAGAGGAAGCTACAATGTGGCTACTCACTGCTCCTCAATACTAAAGATGGGTGAAATGCAGAGGACAAAGGTAAGGTGAAGTCTCTACCAACCCCTAAGGGAAGTATATGGCTCTTTAGTAGCTAATTGCTTATTGTTTGTTCAGTAAGGACTCTAAGTTCACTATGATGTGTTACAGTGTTGGTTTACTTTTAAAATAAAATAGGTTATAGATTACTAGTTATCCTGTTAAAACATGTAATAAATAATGAGACTCTTTTAATGACTTAATCAAAGTAAAGTGACTTCATACATTTGCAACCTTTTTGATGACTTTGCTAACATATGTTTTAAACTGGCCCATAAAGTTGAAAAATGTCCAGAAACAGGCTGAGCCAAGAGAAGACACTCGTCCACGGCCAAAACGATCAAAACAACAGAATGAAAGTTATACTCCACTTGTAAACTTTTTTACTGAAAACAAGAATTACAGCCTTGCGGTTATATGTCTCTGCGAACCCATCAAGCTGCAGTTACAGTTTACATCCATGTCTGTGGAAACATAAATGTTTCACACACATCTTCCCTCCGGCAGCACAGAGGATCTATACAATCAGCACAATTTAGAGGTGGACACTCAAGATTGATTTAGCATCTGACCAAACGTCTCCCCTTCTGTTCCTGAGTTATAGCTCTGAGCAATGGCCAGGAAAGTGTTCTTGCAGGCCATAATGATGTCACAATGAGGTTGACCTTTGACCTTTTTGATATAAATTGTCATCAGTTCATCATTTTATCCCATTATACATTTTGTCATAATTAGCACATAAATTCTCAAGTTATGGTCAGAAACAAATTTTGTGAGGTCACAGTGATTGTAGGAACCACAATATGTATCTAACCTCTCTTGTTTAACTCTGTTCTTTTCTTCACTTTCACTTCCTGTAGTAACTGGCACAGGGATGTGTTTGGTTTCACATTATTTTACTCACTGGCGTGGCAGCTTTTAGACAAAGAGGGTGAGTTTTTGCACAGATATTTTCTGCGGCCGTAATCACATCGCGTAATATTTTGTTTCGTCTCAGTTTGCTTTAGTTATCTCAGTTTTTTGTTTCTTAAAGTACAATAAAACGCCTCTTTGGACTTCAGTATGGATTTTATTGAACGGGTCACAGTTACGAGCCTGCTCAGCCCCTTAGCGGCTTTTTTCACTGATAGTACAGTCTCTACAGTGATCTTGACCTCTGACCACCAAATTCTGGTGAGTTCGTTCTTGAGTCCAAGTGGACGTTTGTGCCAAATTTGAAAAAAAAAATAAAAAATAAAAAAAAAATCCCCTCATTCTTGAGATATCGCAATCATAAAAATGAGACTGATGAGGTCACAGTGACCTTGACCTTTGACCTATGACTACCAAATTGTTATCAGTTCATTGTTAAGTACAAGTGGACATTTGTGCCAAGTTTTTGCGCCAAGACTTTCCCTCAAGACGTTCTTGAGGTATCACATTCATGACAAGGGGATGAACGGACAGACGGAAGGACAGCCTGAAAACAAAAAGCCTGCAGCCATAGCTATTGCTGGCACAGAGTCATACAAATATATCGGATGTAACCCCTTTGTAATCTTATGTATTTTTTCATCAATAACTGTAAATGATTACAATTAAATATGTTTTGTAGCTAGTTCCTACCCAGCACTGGGCATTACTTATTGGTGGACGTGTACTCTGGAACAGATGAAACATTTAAGGCTAACTGTGGCTCACGTAAAGTTCCAGCTGTCAAATAAACTGATAAAGTAAAATATAAATCTCATTACATTCCATTCATTTGGCAGGCACTTTAGCGTACAGCAACTTGCAATATGTGCATTCAGAGTCCATCGGAGCAAGAGCTAGATGCCATCCAGCCAGACCTGACTTTACTCAAGCAGATGAAAAGGATTTTGGCTTAGACTGAGGCAGGTGTAAAGGTCATTAAAATGGTTTAAACGAGATCATGTAAAAGCAGCCACAATGACCTCTAGTTCTCTCGAGTAAGACTCCGTATCAATCCCATCTCCAGAGCCTTCGCTCTGTAGCTGACCCTACACTCTGACCTCCCAGCTGAAGCGGAAAGAGAAGTAAGAGAATCTCCCTGCAGGGATCCGTGAAGTATCTTAATAACATCACACGTGATATAAGATAAGAATTCATCTTTAAGTGCTGCCTACCTGTGTTAACCCTCTGCCAGCCCACAGTGAAGGGAGTCCTGGTCTGGATGAGGTAATAGGTAATGGGGCTGCCGTTGTCTCTGCCGGGACTCCAGGCCAGCTGGGCTGTACTGTCTGTCACCTCCTCCACCGTCACAGAGTCTGGAGGGCTGGGGGGGCCTGGCTCAATCACAGGAACAGACACTGTGAGGTACTTGCACATGCAGAGGCACAGACGAGACTGCAGAATGTGTGGAAGTAAATGTGTGCACTCACACGTACTGCGAGGAAAACATGAGCCAAATACATTTGCATAAAAAACACCTCCACCTTAACTACACTGCTACAAGAGATTATTACGCCTTTACATCTTGAATTCAACATTAGCAAGAGACAAACATTCTTTAAAAATCTTTGAGTTTGAGGAGAAGTTATGCCCTTCACAGGGAATTAAAAGTTAATTCAAGATTTATCCTCCAATATTCAACCGACTTGTAATCCTTCCCTTTCATGGTCCTCCCGGTAATTGATCGATGAAACAGCAGACGTAAGTAGATGCGGGGAGTCAAATTAAAAGGTAAAAGATGAAAAAGGGCCTCATAGCCCTGAAGAACCCGAGTTTTATCATTTATTTTCATTATCCCACCAATTAAGCGGTGTGATGTTTTACTTTAGCCTCATCTACTGTTTCCTGTTCTAATGAACGTGTCTGCTCATCAGAAATAATAGACCACTAGAGAGCTGTGAGACAGACCGCAGAATAATAACGCCCCTAGCTCTGCTCACACTCCTCACCACCTCAAAAGTGGTTTCTAATCTGAAGCCAAATATTCTAATTATCAAAGCGTTAAATGATTATTTTCACACACAATCAATGGTTCATGCAGCATGTACGTGTTACATGTTTCAATGCGTGTATGCTAAACAAGTATTTGCTGAAGAACGTTTTTTTTGTTTTGTTTACAGAAGCCTTGAACGTGCTGCCCACATACATTTGGCCTTAAAGCCTTGGCTTTAAAGATATTGATCTCTGTAAAACTCATTAGCAGCTCCTGATGAAAAAAAAACCTTAATACACTGGCCTCAGTAATACATATTAATGGAGCACACAATCAAGGATCAATTCCTTATCCTCTTAATTATATTTCATTGGCTGAGGCAAGAGGGTGCTGTCAGTGTCTTGAGGGTGTTCAAATAATCTGTTATTAATATGGGCAGACTTTCTGGGCTTTTGTTGTGAACCTGGCACAGGGCAAATTAATATCTGGCTGGATTATGACTACTTACAGACACAGTGATATTTCTTTGATTTGAACTGAATACTTCAATAATTTGTAATATATGCCGTCACATAAGTCAGAAGTGAATCTAAATAATAGTATGTTATAAAAGTGATGGTATAATAATGATAAAACACACTGTGCTGCACTGACTGTCGTATGGTGGGTGTCTTCCAGGGTGATGATGATGAAACTGTCAAACAAGCCCGAGTGCTCACCAAAGTGGTTTGAATGCTAATGACCGTGATGTTATCTGTATAACATGACCTTCTCCATAACCACTGCCACCCGGTGGAGTGTTTGTGAGGCACCGTGGAGTGGCATCTAAAACATTTTCCATTGCCATCGTGGAAAACAAGAACCCAGATGATCACTCAAGAGTCTTTGTGTCAGGAGCGATCATCATTGACCTTCAGCGCTGCAAGAGGAGTGGAGTGAGACAGGATTGGAAATAGCACCCTGCAAATTTAGAGCTAACTCTCACCGTCTAATGTTACACAACTGCCAATAGCGCCAATAATTAACATCATGATGACAAAAGCTCATATATGTTGCTGCAGTCACGCTCGCTCTATCTTAAAGCACAATCACACTGACAAGATCATTATCATAGCTAAATGAGTCCTGCATTATTCACATTGTTGTCTTAACATTAAAATTGTATTTTTTTTTAGCACATGTAAATGCAGCCACCAACGGAAGCCTGTCTGAGTGTCTTCTCACGTACCTCTCGTGGTATATAAAGCCATGTGGATAGTTTTATTTGTCAAGGATTTGGGCTATCCATCTCTGAGATGTCTGCCTCCACCCCAAAATGAATGAGGTTAAATGGATTTTTTTTGTGGTGCTCCAAGCTTTGAAAAATAACATTTTAAAAAATCAACAGCAACATCTCTTTCCAGATTCAGTGCCCCCATTGCTTTGGATAATACACACAACACAGCACAATTTTTCTGGTGGAAAGTAGCTCCCATGAAAACAGCATTTTGTGTTTGATTATTCAAGGAGCACTTTCTCTGAAGAGATGTGTTACTGTCAGCGGTGCAAAGTACTGTATTTAAGCACAGTTAGGAGATATTTGTTCTTTACTTGTGTATTAATATTTTATCCTACTTTTACTTCTATTCCACTTCATTTAAGAGGGAAATATTGTACTCCACTACATTTAGAGTGTTAAGGTTTATTTACTGTTTCTCATTTAAAATCTAAGACTTAAAGGAGCTCTATACACTATTCAGAGCATTAATGTAGCAGCAAACCACGATTTGCTATGTATAGATAGTGTGGAGTGATGTGAGCTGTACTTGGAGCTTTTCTGTTCTTTGTTGTGGTATTTCTTTGTAAATGTATCTGAGTCCCTGTGCGTGTATCCTACTGGCAAGCTTATTACTGCCGCTCTGCACTGCCCTCATACAGTTGTTACCACTGATGCCAACCCCCGGTTAACACCGCTAGCTCTGTCAACACTGTTGCAGTTGTTAGCAGGGATGGGCAGTATTTCCATTACTTGTATTTTAAATACGTATTTCAATTACATTTGAGTATTTTGTAATTTGTATTTGATAAGGCCGATAAAAAGCAAATGTAATTTATAACGAAATACTTCTGAGTGGAGTAATTTTGTATTTAAAATACTTTCTCCACGAATCAAAAAACAAAAATAACAGGCTACACATTCTTATAATATTGGATTTAACAATATTTTTTACTTCTTTTTTTAAATTTTTTTTTTTAAATATATTTTTATCTATATGTTTTTTCTAACTTGGGCAATTCAATGTGCCCTTCACTGACCTAGTGGTCTGTTTTACTGGACTGTGCATAACATAGGAAATTGTATGTTGTTGTGGTTGATGCTTGGTATGAGTATGCTACAAATGAATTGCCTCACGTGGGATCAATAAAGTTGTCTGAATCTAAATCTGAATCAATAAATAATATTTTAGGGTAGCCTACATGTCCCTAGCTTTTTTTTTCTCTTTTTCATTTGAAAAAAGTTGAACACAGGGCTCCAAAGGCTCCAAGTTAGACAGCAAACAAGTGAACTAGCTACAGTAGCTACAGTATCTTGCTGCTGTTTAGCTAGACCGTTGGTGGACAGTTCACAGCACAGCTAGACTAGACTTGCCAGACATGCTGCTCATGTGGATGGACCCACACTACCAGTAGACTTCCTTGCTGCTGGGTCTGGCTACATAGCCTATTGTATAAATACATGGTGTTGATAGTTATAATATCAAGCTAGTGATGCTTATGCATGACATTAATGGATGAATCATGGTTGTTCTTTCTGGCATAGTTACATGTGGTCTCTAATTGCAGCATGTAAATTTTGAGCATTTTTGGTCAAGGACTTTTTGAGTTATTCACAAAAAGATTTGAAACGGTTAGTATAGCGTCATCTATGGACGAATCGTAGGCATTCTTTCTGGTATAGTTACTCATGGTCTCCAGTTGCAGTAGGCAAATTTTGAGCATTTTTGGGCTTTGTGGATCGACTGACCAACTGACCAACCAGCCGACTGACAGAGTGACCTATAGAGCTGCGGGTCGCTGCTGAAAAGAATACATGTATTTTATTTTGATACATTTTCTGGCACCAGTATTTTTTATTTTGTATCAAAATACATTTTGATGTATTTTTGCCCATCTCTGGTTGTTAGTGCTGTTCTAGGTGTTAGCATCGCTAGCTGCTAGCTGCCAGCTTAGCCACCTCCATGTTGAGAGCTGTGTGGAGACAACCTCTAAATTATAGATACTCTTTGAATATCACATAAGGCTCTTTTAATTAAAAAAGAGAAATAAAATACAATAAAACACATTGTGAAATACCTACATGTTTCAGATGCCCATGAGTTTTTAGCAGTTCCACCAAACAGTGACTTCCCTTCAGGTGGTTTTATTTAAATTACTGTTTGAGCCCAAAGAAGTCAATTTATCCAATACTTCACAAAAAAGAGAAAAATAAATTAAAACATCCCAACAATTTATGTTGCAGAACTTCAATTTTTTCTTCTTTTCCACCCCAATTAGAATTTCACAACCCCGCAGATTTATCTTGGGACCCTTTGGAGTGGTCCGAACTACTCTGGGAACCACTGGACAAAAATTTGATAAAGTAAATAAAACTCCCTACATCTCACCACCTACAACAGTAACATTCTACTTAGACACTGATACCATAGACTGAAAATAATGGACGTAGCTACTGGGACGTCACAAATTGGCTTGTGGACTCTCGTTTTGAAGCCTCGGCATTTCAGCCTTTGCCATCTTGGTTTTTTGGAGCCAGAAGTGAGAGGCTGACCCCCCCCCCCCTTCTGGAGTCAGCCTCACGTGGCCATTCAAAGAACTGCAGTTTTTGGCACTTCCGTGTTAGCTTCAGTATAATGATCTATCAGCCACAGGGGCCAATTTACTGCATGAGCACTTTTACTTTTGATACTTTAAATACATTTATCCATTCATTCATTAACCATAACTGCTTATCCTATTGGGGGGAGGGTGGGCTGGAGCTGACATAATAGATATTTTGCTAATACTACTTATCTGCATTTACTTAGGTAGGACATTGTATGCAGAACTTTTACTCTTAATTGAGAATCTTTCACATTGTTGTATTGATACTTTTTTAAGCAGTATTTCTTGCACCGCTGGTTATTGTCCATTGTACATGTATCCAAAAGGACCTGAAGAGGGCCAGAGGATATGGAGAAAATCAATTATCAGTATATTTTTAACCCAATACCTCGATATCATATCATGATGATATTTACACAATTTGATTTTTAATACATAATCATCAGTGATGTTGACATAAAGACATATGATATTAAGACAGCCAAAATCTAAGACGATATCTAGTCCATTATCACAATATCAATATATTGCCCAGCCCTATCTAAGTATAAAGGTAGAGGAGATTTCCAAACAGGATAATGTCTGACCACTGGACATGTGACCACTGTCAGTTTGTTATAGCTCTGCAGTTGTGATCAAGCAAAGCCATTCTTTGCCCTCCATGACTGGTTTTCTTTCCAGCTTCATGCTTTGTCGCCCAACATTTGGAGTCATTCGATCCAAGCAATGAGACATCCATGACAGCTGCCGTGAGCAGGAAGTGTAAATAATGCACAATCTGAATCACAGACAAGTTTCTCTCCAGTCAATACTAGGCCAATCCATTTCCATGGCCTTGATATTGCTTCTGCTTGAGAAACAGCCCCATTTCCACTTAGTCCTCAGCCAATTAGAAAGGAGTGCTTATTAATGCCATTTGCCCAGAAGATCTTTAACATGCCAAGCTAAATCACTGGTGGGTATCCTTACAAGATAAAGATATGGATCCAACCATTTCAAATCTTGACACCGATATCATCCCTAACCTCATTTGACATTTAACATATTTGCGTAATGTCAATTCGCCGGGCTATTTGACGTATCGATCAAAGCCAGGAACGTCTCTCCTCTCACTCGTCTGCACGCAGCACAAATCTGCCTCTCCCCGAAACACATAACAAAAGTTGTTCTATTTTGTTCTGCCCGATGTAGCTCTTGACAATCGTGTCTCTCTGGAGCTATACATACTGCATGAGTGAGCACAGACAGGCATCTAAACATTCCACTGTCAAGTACATTGCAACAATATTGAAAATTGGTCATTAAAAAGAGAGAGAGGGAACATTTTCACACAGTTTTGTCAAGTTCTCTCCTTCCAAAGACATCCCTAAACGCAATCTCAAAGAAGCACAAAGCCTCCTCTATTTGATGTAATCAAGCGACTGCTACCAGAAAAAAGCAGGACATAAAAACTGTGGACTCTCTGATGACATCCAGAATCATTTTCATGAGGAAATGGGCATTTTGGTCGCACTGCAATCACCAGCTGAGACAAAACCCATTTGAGCTTAAAAGCCTATGTGAACATTATACGCCCTGACAGTCGAGCATTCTTTATATTCTCAGTAAAGAATATTCATATAATCCCTCCCAAAAAATACATTCCCTTTATTTTTTTCTAAACAGCTTTGGTAACTCTTACACAGCGCAGGCATCTGTTTATTGTGGCTGCATCTATCAACCACTTTACAGCTATTACATGTCCAAGTGTCCTTGAGCGAGACACTGAACTCCAAGTTGCTCCCCAAGGACAGGCCAGTGACTTGCATGGCAGCCCCACCGCCATCAGCGTGTGAGTGTGTATGTGAATGGGTGAATGAAAGTCAAATTGTAGAGTCTTTTGTCCGTTAAGGTAGAAAATCGCTATATGAGTGCAGTCCATTTCCCATCTACCACTTTCTGTTAAGTCTAGAATTTTAAAATCCCCTTTTCTAAAAAGAGGAACCCAAAAACAATCCTGGCTGTAAGCCCTGTTTTAATTAGTGACTGCAGAGCAGAGAAGAGGTTTTCTTACCTTTGACGATCAATACAGCCACGGCTGACAGGCTCTCCACGTCCGTGTCCACCACACAGATATATTTGCCAGCGTGGTAAAGCTGAATGTTCCTGATCATCAGATCTCCTGCTATTCTCTACCAAGGAGGAAAGAAAGCTTTATGTAGCATGAAAGATAACAGACCCTTTGACAGCTTATTAAAGAATCTAGTGAAGCATATATAAGGTGCAGTAAATAGCTGTGCCAAAAAACGTTAGCAGATCCTGCAGTTATTCGGCTAAGACTTTGCAGAGGCCTGTTTTTAAAAGATATTTAACACCAACATCTAGACAGTTCTTTGAAGTCAAAGCCATGGCGCCAAACATAATGAAACATTTCTGAATGTGACAGAAAATGCATAAACGCATACTTCTGTCCAAAATAAGCTTGGATGAAAAGGATCAAGGCCAAAATTCACGCAAATCGTATGCAGCAAGTGGAATTTTTGTGTCAGACAAGGCCTCGGCTATTTGCCTTGCTTTCCGCAGAGGTCGTCACCACGACCTTCAAGACCTGTTGCGAGCAACTACACAAATAAGCTATTACTACTGAGTTCAGTGGGTTTTTGCTCGATTGGAGAGAGAAGAAAAAAGGCAATCTAGACTCTCATCTGAGAGGACACCCGTAAGCAGCAAATGGTAAATTAGTGGTGAAATCGTTCTCTTGGTATTGGCAGGAAAATGTGGCAGTAGAGCCAACGTGGTTTAATTATGGAAATGAAATTCCTTGAAGCAGCAAAGTTAAGTTGATAATCTCTTTGGACTGGGGACATTCTAGCATTTCTGGGGAAGTCTCTTTTCAGATAAGAACATTGTCAGTCAAACACACATAGGAAGAATGGTTAATCTCAGAGGGTGTGAGGGCGTTCTGAAAGTGTTTTGTCATTTGGGGCTCTGCCAAGACACCTCTAATGATGTGTATCCCCTTTCTGTTATGAGGAGCTGTGCAGCAGTCTATGTCAAAGTAGGATTTGAAAAGGAATTCAAGACCAGCCAAAGACTTAAAAAATAGATTACTTCAGAAGGTTGAGCTCGAGTAGGAGAAGTGTACTCAAAAAGATGACAACCTGTCACAATGGCTGAGCAACTAACACATTACCTACACGATGGGTTTTATGTAGGAAGTGTATTTTGACATAGCATGGCCATGTTTCCATTCACAAAAGTACAATTGGAAGCTTTAAGGGGCCGAGTGATCTAATAGTGCTTCCTCCCAGAGAATTTCACATTCCCATAGTTTATTGTGCCTCCAAGGAGACTTTCAGAATTGCAAAACGGATGCTATCACACCCATTGCAGCAAAAAACTAGCCACAGTAAATCTCTCCAAGAAATACCATGATGTCAAACCACAAGCTGTCTCTTTTAACTAATGGCAGCGATGAAGTGAAGCAAGATGCGAAGAGGTGCCAACTGCCCATTCGCACGTTCTGAAGAAGTATGACTGCGGGTCACTCACCCCACCCACTAGCTCAAAGTGACCGTCTCCCTTGGCGATGAGCTGTCCGTTGAAAGCCCAGGAGAAAGAAACGTCAAGGACGGGGTCACTGGCGACCTGACAGGGTAACACGATGCTCTCGCCCACAATGATCTCCATGTCCACCGGCCCCTGGGTGATTCTGGTTGGATCTGCCTCAGAAAAAAAAACACTGTGAGAGGGAGTCATTTCTGACAGGGCGGCTGCCAATCTCACGCAGAACATGAGACATGTCAGTGCCAGATGAAAAGAGATGAGCAGTGTATTGTTGGTTTCCTGAAATAGAGGGCCAATAGTGAGACAACACTTACATGAACATGCTCTGAAATACACTAAGCCACACAGTACTATCTATATAAAGGAAGGTCTCATGAAAGTCTTCGTCAAATAATGTGATAACACGCAGCCTGCCACTACTAAAATGGCCTAATACTCCAGGCTGACACAGCTAGAATAATCTTCTGAAATCCTGATAGCAATTACAATACACTGTGGATCAGATAAAACGTCATGTAATGGGCTGCTCTGTGCATCCAGAACAAAAATGAAGGGCGCTGCTTCAAAGTCTACAATAGCAATCATTTGGCTAAGTCTGCCGTCCTTCAAAAGTCAAGATAATGAATCTGTTAGAATCAAATAAAGAAGGTGCAGTACAAAGGAAGGGGATTTGCACCCTTACATCTTACCTTATAGACTGTCGAGGGAGAAGAAAATCACATGTAAAAAGTGTCCCCTCAGTGCTTAAGCTAGTAATAATCAATGTCTGGGTCGTGGCTCTGTGTCGCTGACTGCATTACGGCCTTGAAAAATACCCCAGCTATTTAAAAAAAAAAAAAAGCGGCCTTGGCAGTTACGGCGGCAGACAATAGCGTTCAGCACATTAATAAAACCAATAAGAGAACACTCAACTATCACTCTGCTGGAAACACGCGTTCGACAATAACAGCATCTGTAACACCTCCTCACTAACGCTTTCATTGCCTCCACTCAGGGCACTTTCATTTGTTGCAGTAAATTGGTTGTTTCAACTGCTTTGAGGACAACAATGATCGAGTATTTTCTCAAACACCTTCCAAGTGCATTATTGCAGCCGCTGCAGAATGCAGCCACACAAAACAACTCAATAGAATTAAACTGAAAGACAAGAGTTTTTTTCTTTGTTTTTTTAAGTTGCAGTTGAGAATTGAGTTTGGGTAACCGTTACACCCCCTCAAGGAAATAAATAAACATGTAAAAATGACCTTTAAAATGAATCTAAAAACATTTATGCTCTTACTTAATTATACAAAGTCCCTCAAGGGTAAAAAACTTCCCAAAGTTTTGACAAGCTCCTCAGAGCAAAACCTAAAGTTTGTTTATGTGTTCTACCCACCAGTTATTGACTCAAGTCCTCGTGGTACAGTAGCTGCGTTAATCCATACTGAGCAATAAATTCTGCTTACTAAGTGGGATGCACAAACATTATGCTATTTCACAGCGGAGCTTACCCGTAACAAGGAGCCTTCCAGTTGTACTTGACATGCCAAATCTATTCCTAGCAAAGCACGTATAGCTGCCTGCATCAGATTTGCTCACATTGGCAAGCCTCAATGTTCCATCTGGGGAAAGTGTGATCCTATAGGAGTGTACAAACAGAGACATCAGTTTGCAATCCAACTTCAGAGAACAACAGCAAAAAAAAAAAAAAAAAAAAATCATGGTTAGATAAACTCTGGTTCTGGATTTGTCTACATGTCAGTGTTCTACATCATCACAGACAGTTTGTGCATCGAATATTGATCAATTAGACCAAACAAGGCTCAGCTAGAACACAGGTGGGATGAATAATGCATCGGCTTTGATATCTAAACAGAAAAAAATACTGAATTGTTTATGTTTGTACTGTTCTACCCCGACTTTGAACTGCAATCGGTCTTTTGCTGCACCATCATAAAAGTGGTTTCAGAACACAAACAGAAACTTTCAGTTCAGTCATTACCTGTCATTGGTGTGGATAGGCAGGTTTCCTTTCTTCCATAAAATGCTGGCGATGGGATAGGCCTGGGGTTTACACTCTAAAGTCACTGTAGTTCCTGCCTTGGCTTTGAGCAAAGCTCTGAGGACGTTTCCTGTGAAGTCTGGAGGAGAGGCTGATGGGAAACAGTAAACTGACTTTAGTACAAGACTGCGGCAAATCTCTCAGGGCATTTGAAGCATGCTACAGTTTGATCTGCGGAAATCATCAAGTAATGGAGACAGACATTTGAAACATTTTTGATGTTGGGGAAAAAAATATATAAAATCGAATCGCTACTGGTGATTTTTATTCCATTTCCTTCGTAAAAATTCGATTTATGTGGAAAACCTATCTGGCCCAAAAATGTTTAACTTTTAATTGGTTTTACTGTAAAAGATCATGCACAACTGGGAATTCTGTATCTATCGCCCCATCCTCACCTTCACATCAAAGTAAATCAGGATATCATGAAGGGGAAAATATTTTTTAAATGTGTTTGCCCCCACAAAACCCTTCTTGCTGACCCCATTATCCACTAATCCAGACAACCTTTAAGAATGACAGTAAGATGACCTTTAAGATTCTTTGCCAAAAATGATTGGAGGATATAAATGCCATCCTACCTAAAACCATTAGTTCGGCAGCAAAATATATGACGCCGTGTTTATTCTCAGCCACACACTGGTACATGCCGGCGTCAGATAGTGTCAGCACCGACACTGACAGCACTCCGTCCTCCACATGGATTCTGTCCTGTGAAGAAAGGGATCAAAGAAAGCAATTATTGCTTAAGACTTTAAGGTGGCTTTTGCTTTGGTCAGCGCACTCTGGCAAAGCTCAATAAGCACTGGAATCACTGGAATGGGTTAGAGGCATTGTCAATGGGCGTAGATCAAATCGGGATTATGTTGCAGTGAATGAATCGGTCAGAGCACAAACCACAATTGTGTTTTTCAGACACGCATGTTCTCACTACTATGTAAACCAGTCTATAATATAATATAATATCCTGTAGGGAAAACCTAGCATGGAAAGCATTTTAATGAATGATTTACATCATTGACTTACATAACTCTGTCCATGAAACCAAATGCATCACAATCCAATCTTATATTGTTTCTTTTTTGGCTGTGTGTATTAAACACACAATGTGTAATTTTGGTCTGTGGAGGTCTCTCAGTCAAAACAATAACAAAGGACGGGTGTTCTGACAAACAGAGCTGCCGCTCACAGTGACCTACCAACATGATGTGTGCATTCACAGTGTGCTTAAGAGGTGAAAAAAAATATTCAGAGAACATGCTGATACTTTCAACCACATTCTGATTGATCTATTGCTGCTGGCAGGCCACTCTGGACAGGTAGATCGAGTGCTGCAGGGATGATGTTTTTTGCAGGCCGATGTGGAAGTTAACATTGCCCTGGTTCAATCGTCAAAAAGCCTATGGGATATTTCCATTGGATTTTGGATTACTGCAGGGAAATGAGCTCTGTGGCAAACAGGTTTATGATACATGTTTTGTTAGACAAGATCATCTTCACAAATAACCACCACTTTTAAGATTTTGAAATGTAAATGCAATCGCCTGAAGTAAAAAGCTAACATTAGCCTATAAACAAACTACACCACTGTCGCATAACTTAAACATTGCTACCACAATGAGGCTGTAAAGCTGTGTTTAGCGTGATGACATTCTGTACTCTTACTTAGCCACTTGTTAGCAACCGCCTTTTTCAAGACACATAAAAGCTTCAAAATTTCCGAGTAAGGTATTTACTGATGCATTTTATGTCACAGAGTAAAACGGATAAGTCTCTTAAGCTTGTGTTGACCACAGACCTTATTTCAGACATCTAACCAAAAACCTACTGACTTCAAGACAAGGGAACCGGGAACGGTAAAATACTAACTCATTGTCAGGTTTTAGGACTCATTCCTGCACCACTCTATTTGTCCGACGTCGATTTTATCCGACGTGACTCAGGCAGAAATCATGTTCACGGACGAGGCAATGTATTAGTTTTAACTTAATTACTATTTCACTTAACTCTCATAAAATAGCCGCAAGAAACGTTAGCTAATGTAACATTAACTTACTAACTTACCATTAGCATTTAATGAGTAAACTACCCGTACAGCTACCGTAGCATACCTTTTATGGCTTATTTCTACTGTGGAAGGCCAGCACTGTTATCTTTGGTCAAAACAATTCTCTAAGAGCATGTTTACAGTGTTTGTAGCTCACCAGAGGGGAGACAAGTATCTTCAGTTAGTGCCCTGTAACAATTTTAATTCAGCCAGCTGCTCAGCTTTGCAGCCAATTTTTCCCAGTGGCCACTGGCGGTTCTGCAGTGAAAAATTCCCCTGCGGCCCAAAAACTTATTTTCCCCAGAGACCACCATTGTCAAAGAGATGTCTGCAAAACTGATGACGGGACACCTCAAACTGCACACAAGGTCAATTATGACTCTTTCTTTTATGTTTTTTTTTACGTGGGTGGGCCAGCAGGAGGAACACCACTGTGCATATTCAGTGTGCTGTATACCGCAGAAGTAAACCCAGAAGCTAATTTTTTTTTTGGCATATGCACCAAGCAACCAAATCCACTGGAATAAAAAAACACCACCTCCTCATACTGTATCTAGGTATTATTATAAAACTATGGGTGCGCTATCCAGCTAGCTAGCTTATCTCAGTAAGCTTCAGCTTCTCTTATTGGTTGTCCCACCTGTGGTCCAATAAACAGAGAAAGCAAGAGCAGAGCAAGGAGGGGCTGTGTCAAGTTTGTGAAAAACACTTTTGCAGATTGAGTGATAACAGACAGCTGCTTGACAGCAAACCAACTTGATGACATGGCCAAACCCAAGTATGACGCTGAATATATTAAACTGTGTGGACCTTGACCTAAGGACTAAGGAGAAATCTGGACCCCGTGGTTGGACCAGTTGGAAACCACTGCTCTATAAAGTCTATATAAGGTCATTAGTTGGGTTTCCATCCAAATGTAGCAGACTGTAACTGAATTTATAGGAAATGAGCAAAAGAAAATGCTTATTTTTTTGGGGCTTTTTGCTTTTAATTCATAGGACAGTAGTTAGTGTGAAGGAGGGAGAGGGTATCGCATGCAGCAAAGGGCCGCAGGCTGGAATGGAACCCACTGTTGCTGCGGCAAGGACATTGCCTTTGTTCATGGGCTTGCCCACTCTACCCACTGAGCTATTAGCCAGCCAAAAATACTAATGTTTGTACATTTCTATCCACTACTGTTATACGAATAGTGATTGGTTTCTCGAGATAAGCAGTAGATGGCACTAATTCCCCAGTCAAGTGCCATTATACCACTACAGAGGAAGATAATGTATAGTGTTTAATAACTAAGAGCACACTGAACAATGGAAATAGGGAGTTTTGAATAAATAATATTACAGCTTAGTGCTCTTGGAAGAGTTCTGGTAACAGCGCTGTGTGCGTGTTAAAAGCCACCTGGAGACGACAGAGAGAGCTTGCAGTGACTTCATGACTGTGCGTCATCATTATTTTGCTGATTCTGTTTCAACTGCATTTACTTGCATTTTACTTTTATTGATACACCAGTTTTTCCACCCACCCCAAGTGTAAAAGATTTTTTAATGCGCAAATTAAAAATGCATATAATGAGAGGTGGATGGAAACACTTATTAACAAAGGACAAAATGAAATGCTTCATTACCTTGAATAAAATTACAGGATTCTCTGGGTTTAAACATTGTTTTAAATAGTTGGAATAATGTATACAACTCAACAAAATAGGCTATGACATTTTTATACATTTTTATGGGTATATGTTACATAACATACCTTTAAGCTTTCTCTTTGAATCTAAGAATATCCATTTACACAGCAGTATGATTTTCATAAGCCTTTATATCCGAAATGGAAATCAAGAACACTAGATAATACCATTTTCATGGTAAAAATGCTAATCATATTCTAAATCTTGCAAGAGTGAATGTATTCTTGAAATCAAATTATATAGTGACATTTAACAAAAGGTCTTTTTAAAAATAAAAATCAGATGTCTCGCCCTGAGCATTATCAAATGCTGCTAAGAAAATAAAGCAACAGCAACATGTTAAACTCAAGTCAAGTTTACAGCTATGCATCTGCAGACATTTCCCTGGTGGTCTGGGGTAAGGTGTGCTGCTATATACAGTATATTTCACAGCAGATTACTCCCATTGTCCCTAAATGTGGAAGAGCTTAAACATGCACCATGAATAATGAAAAACAACCACTGACTCCATTCAGATGAAATGGAGCAATCTCCCAGGGACTACACTGATCCACTCTCTAAGACTGTGTAATCTGCCAAGGTAGAGGAGAATAAGAGACCGTTACATCCATGTCTCATCACTGGCACACCTCAGCAAGATGTTTACACTCTCCTCTCATCTCACTCTGAATTGCACTTGGAAAAACAGCCGTGTGTTTGACGCCAGGCTCTCTAAAATGAAAGGATGAGCTGGAGCTGAGGATTAAGTCTTTAAAATGAAACATTAGTAGGTGGCAGAAGACAGGCAGTAATTTACCTCTGAGAGTAGCTGTTGGCCGTTCTTCAGCCACGTGTAGGAGGGTTTGGGCTTGCCATTGGCTCGGCACTCCCAGTATAGTCTCTCCTCTATGGCCAGGGCCGTGTCCTTCATGGCCTGGATCCACTGAGGCTTGGCTGAGGGAACAGAAACACACTCCAGTGAAATATCTGACGAGAACCGCGGGGACAGATTTTGAAGGAGCAGAATTATCTCGCAAAAATATGCCGCTTCCAAAATAGTTCAAAGGAAAGCGTTCGTAGATTGACAGCTCAAATAAGTGGAAATCATAAAGCGCTTGGAGAATGGGTTTGTCTTTAAGAGAGGAGTGAATGTAGGGTATCACTCAGTTTCATCACTTAAATGTGTCAGCACCCCGTGGCAACTCAAGATTAGCACGTAAACACTGCGCCACAAAGCAGGAAGCTCCCATGACGGCTGAAGTGCACCCCACATCTCCTCTCACCGTAACCTGTCACCTCAATTCTAAGTATAATAAACATCACCCCTGTCTGTTTCCCACCCAGCACATAACTCCCTGAGCTTCTCACCTCTTACATATTTACAGCTTTTCAGGAATTTTCATGGGTAGAGTGTTGTGCTCATAATAAGCACAGCTCACTTTGCAGGCACTTTACATATCGTCTATTCCAATTTCACAGGTGTCATTTTCCCTCTCTCACAAATTCACAGCGGCTGAAGTAAGCCAAGAACCTGAAAATGTAAAATTAAAACCAACAGCGCTTATTATCCGGGAAGAAGGTAATGACTTTTTCCGGCTGTTTATAAAACAATGAGCTGTTAAAATTATGACAATTATCATATTACCAAATAACAACTCTTAACCTTAACCACTTCAATTCTGGATTTCACATATTAACAGCAAACGCATTAAAGGGACAGTTCACCCCCAAATCAAAAATACTAATTTTTCGTCTTACCTGTAGTGCTGTTAATCAGTCCAGATTGTTTCAGTGTGAGTTACTGAGTGTTGGAGATATCGGCTGTAGAGATGTCTGCCTTCTCTCTAATATAATGGAACTAGATGGCACTCAGCTTGTGGTGCTCAAAAAACTGAAAAACCCAACAGCAATGTCTCAAGATAATCCACAGACCTTGTTGTGAGTAGTTTCGTGTTGGACCTATTTTCTTTCTACCGAACTACACCTGCCAACAGATCATCACTTTGAAGGAAGCTTGAATCTACTCATGGACGAGAGGCTTGCCCTCGTGGCAGCGCGAGATGTAGACATTAATGGTGTCCTCCTGAGCTGAGCTGTAACGTTAGCTAGCTCACTGGTGCTAGGGGAGTTAGCTGTAGATGCATGCTTCCTTCTGCACAGTGATATAGTTCGTAGGGGTAGTTCGATAAGAAGAAAAAATTTCCTGCGCACAAGGTCTGTAGATTATCTTCAGTAACCGGGTCCTGATCTCCACAAAGACATCACTGCAGGGTTCTTTTCAAATGTCTCAAAAATTGGAAAAAACACAGGTGTAGCTGAAAGAAATATTTGGATAGTGTGATTCATTGTCTAAGGGTGCAAACAGAATATTTACCAAAAAAAGTGAAAAAGGAAAAGGAAAAAAAACCTGTGTACGAGATTACAAAACATTACGAAAAGGAAGTTTCTCAATAAATTAAATGGATGGAAGAAGGTAACATCTCTCAAGACGGACTCGTTGGCAGCCCCTTGTAGAATACTCCAGGTATGAATCCTAAAACCCAGAAATTAGTTAACATTTTAGCACTCCTGGTTCCCTCTGCGTGAAGTCAATATTTAAATGGGTTTTTGGTTAGATGCCTGAAACAAGGTCTGTGGTTAACACAAGCTTAAGAGACTTCCATGCTTTGTTCTACGACATAAAATACGTCAGTCAGTAAATACCCCACTCGTGAATTTTAAAGCCTTTATGTTTCTTAGAAAAAGGAAGTTGCTAATAACTGACTAAATAAGACTACAGACTAGCGTCACACCAAACACAGCCTCTTTGTGGTGGTGACACTGAAGTCGTGCGACCGTACTGTAGTTATAGCCTAATGTTAGCTTTTTACTTCTGGCGGTTGCATTAAGCCTTCAAAAAACCTAACCCATATCAACCTGGTGCTCATCTATACAGATTATCTTGCTGAACAAAACACGCAAGTATCATAAACTTTTATTTGCCACATATCTTATTCTCTGCAATAATCCAAAATGTAATATAAATTTCCCATTGGCCCTTTGTTGAGGGAACCAGGGCGACACTAACTCCTGTGTCGGCCCACAAATAAACGTCATCCCTGCAGCAGTCTATAAACCAGCAGTCCTCTCTTTACTAGGCTTTATATTTTCATAAGAAAATACAGTTAACACATTTTCTCACTGGATAAAGCATTAGCAGCTTCTTAAATCCACATATACATAAAACAAGGAATACCTATACTTTTCATAAATATTATCCTCAGACCAAAAAGTTCATCGCAGCTAGTTCCATTATATTTAAGAAAAGGCAGATATCTCTATGGTCGATATCTCCAACGCTCTGCAACTTATCCAAAAACAATCTGTATTGATAAATAGCACTACTGGTAAGAGGGAAAAATATGTATTTTTGATTTTGGGGTGCACTGTCCCTTTAAATCGGGAATAGGATGTATGGGACATAGTAAAGATGCTTAATAATCAATTAGTAATGTTTCTTTCGTTGTCTTAACGAGCCAAACAAAAGTCTCAGTACCGTAGAAAGCCAGTCGACCAGTGGCTGTGTTCTTGCCCATCTTGTTCTCAGCCACACACTCGTATCCTCCTGTATCATCCTGCTGGAAGCTGGGGATCTCCAGCACAGCGTTCGAGTACTTCATTTTGACTTTGCTGGGGAAGGGAACGCCGTTAGCTCTCTTCCAGGTGATTTCGGGGACAGGGCTTGAGGAGACAGAGGAAGCAAACCTCAGCTGAGATTTTGAATCAAGTTCTTTTCAACTTTTAAGATTGTCGCTCAGGTTGCAAGTGTCTAATAATCCTGTAATAAAGGGTTTGATGGAGCTTAAGAGCCTATTCACAGTATTTCTTTTGCGGATGAATGATTTAGAGTTAACCCAATCTGACAACAAAAAAAAGCCACCTCAAATGGTTTTTAGACCAATCATGACTTGATGCCACACGCTCGGAAATATAATTGCCACAGTAACTTTACTATATAGAAATTGGGAGGTCTGAAATGAAAGACAGCAGAAGATTGAAAACATGCTTCAAGGAATCCAGCTTACTTCCCAAGGGCGAAACACTCCAGCGTAACTGTTGATCCTTTTGCGGCGGGTACATTGTCTGGGAAATTAACTTCTATTTTCGGCTCATATTCGCCCATCACTCCTATGAAAAGGAAGCACAAGAACTTGCTCAGTCTTCCATTATTCATGACTTACAAGCAATACGGCTTGCATTACGGACCAAACAATAGCACTGTAAAACTAACAGAGGAGAAATAAAAGACGCATGAGCAAACATTCTCTCATGGGTAAACTCAAAGTAGTACATCACTTAAATGTGCAGCCACCAGAGTGCAGTGAAATACCAGCGAGGAATAATTTAAATCTCGTCTTGGTGGAACAGACATGGTGGAATTTGAAATCTTGTTTTTTCAGCTAGTCTGGCTGTTTATCTATTATTTCAAAGCTTGAGTGGGCAGTTCCCAACCACCGGTGTTTTATTGTTTGTATCAGTATTTAAGACATTCAAGGCCGGGATCAGAAAGCGATGCGATTAGATTTAAATTTATACAGCTACATGTACAGTACACTGAGTGGAAACTAACTGGTTGAGCCACCAGAACACTCAATGTAATGGTCCAGTGACGTATGGCTTATCTTTAATTCATTCGAAGGCAATCTTTATTCACTCTTTCTATGAAGGCGTAACAGAGAATAGAACAACAGACCAAAGAGAACCGGCTTGAGAATTCATGTGAAAGCACAGGGAAAGCTTTTAAAGGGAATGCGAATTATAAGAAAGCAAAGTCAGCAAAGAGAAGATTTGGGTGCTTTGTTTGCTGGCCTACATTGAGGAGTAACTATTTACTTGCAAGCATTAGCGCTTGGTGACTCAACTACAGTGAGGCACGACAGGACAAAGAGCACTCATGCAAGTACGATGATTAAAGCCACCTTGAAAGGAAAGGTCCTTAATACACGGCTGAAAAGCATACTTGTCACATCGTGGCCACAAGCTGTGGGCTTACCATCTGTCCTGAGGATCAGAGACGTCGGTGAGCTCTGAACTTTGCCCTTTGTGATGCTGTTCATCACGACACAAGTGTAGTTACCCACATCAGAGGGCTCCACCTTGGCAATGTAAAGGTTTCCTGTCTGCTGGGAGACGAAACGTCGATTGTCTTGTTGAACAAAGTATGGGTACTCGTTGAAGACCCATGCGTATGTGAGGTCTGGAACACAAACAGAGTCGCGTATGAGCTTGGTAACCTTATAGTGTGATATTAAATGTCACTTAAAGTATTATATGTTGTTATAAAAAGGTTGTTTGTTTTTTTATACTTTAGAGGGGACCTATTATGCTCGTTTTCAGGTTTATACCTGTATTTTGGATTTCTACTGAACATGTTTACATGCTTTAATTGTCAAAAAACACAATTTTCCTCATACTGTCTGTGCTGACACACCTGTATTCATCCCCATTTAAGTGCCAGCCTCTTTAAGACCCCCTCCCAAAAAAGCCCAATCTGCTCTGCAATCAGGGAGAAATTAATAACATCGGCAGCCAAGATTACACGTTTTCCTGACATTAGCATGTAGCTACATGTAGCAGTGTGCAGCTGAAGGAATGACTGTGATGGAGTACAGCAGCACTTTCTACTGTGAAAATGACCAATAGAAGTTGCTAAACCAAAATCTTCACAACTAGACTTGTTCCAGCAGGAATAAAATCCAAAATCGAGGGAAAAGGAACAACACTGGCAGGCAAGATTACACGTTGTCCTGACGTTAGCATGTAGCTACACGTAGCAGTGTGCAGCTGAGGGAATGACTGTGACGGAGTACAGCAGCACTTTCTACTGTGAAAAATGACCAATAAAAGCTGCTAAACCAAAATCTGGCAAATTGTAGCAGTATAAGATATAAAGAAATACAACACGCTGACATCAGTTTGCCTTGAAAGTATTCAGAGGGGACCTGCGGTTTTCGCTCACAGGGATTACTTTTAATGTTTACCTCATTATTTGAAACTTTGGCCATGTTTAAAATGAACATCCAACGTTGTAACATTATATATACGACAGAAAAAAAGGACAAGCATAATAGATCCCCTTTTATCTTGTCAAAACACTAGAACTTTAAACAACTGCACTGTTGGCGGTCAACATGAAGGCTTACCTCCTGAGGAAGTGGGCGTTCCACAGAGTAACACCACTCCTTGTCCCTCACGGACTGACACCGCGCTTCTGGTGTGGACCTTGAAATGATCTAAGTCTGAGGGAAACAAAAATGAAAAGAAAGATCACCGCAGGATTTCACATATCAGAGCAGGACAGAGCTAAGCAAAAGCTTTCAGCGAGACACTGACACGAGCGCGTACGGAAATTGTCGTGAGAATTGCAATTCTGCGATTCCAGGGAGAGACAGAGAGAGGTTGAGACGGGGGGAGACAGAAAAGAGCTTGTACATCTGATGGGTTTTGTATAGCAGAAGAATATAGTGCAGGAAATTTAGCTGACGACTTATATGAGATATTAGATACATTTTACAACATGGGAATGAGGCTGGTAAGAACAGGTTAGGACTCCAGTTGTGTATGTGTGTATGATGACCACATGAGCCTGGCATGATGGGATAGGCTGCAATCCAAACCAGTGCCATTACACAACAAGATTACTTGGTCTAACTTCAGCTATAGTCGGTTAAAGTAGCTATTTCTTCTTATTATTCTACAGCATCGCATCCAAACAGCATGTTTTCCAGTGTATGTTAAAAGTAAAAGGATCCAGAACACAAAAAACATACACACATATTCCCACCTACCCCTGGTGTCATCTAGCCATGAATGTATCTCCCAATTACTCTGTAAGATCCACAGACTTCACTTTAATCAGTTCCCATTTTTTCAGTTGGGACTGTTTTCATCTGATGGTGAAAATTGTTCAGTTTTTTAATGTCATTGAGTCTCAACAGTGCAAATTTAAAAGCCTGTCAAATGCAACCAAAAATATCTGCGTGGCCAGACACTGCGAGAGCGAAGAGAAGGTGTGAAAAGATGTTTTGTTGTAGAAGCCTTAGTGAACAGTACATAAATAGCAAGTATTCATTTCTTTATTCGTTTGATGTCTGCTGGTTCCACCACCAAAGATATGTTATGTGAGAGAAATCACAGCTCATATATAATTTTTGTGACATCGCAGTTGTAACATAAAGCAATGTTTACACCATTTCTTATATTCGTTTGCATTACTCTTGTCTTTGTTTAACAGCCCCGGCATATTATGTCAAAGTAAAGGTTTGTTTCAGTCCACATTGAGGTATTCTTCACACACTACTTCAGCTATTTGGCTGACGACTTTACCCCAGGGTACATCCAGTAAAACGCAGATGACTTTTGATCGAGCCAAGCAGGGAAAAGTGAAGTAGTCAGTCTTTGTTTGCACATACAAGCATAAGTGAAGTCGTCACACTCAAACTGCTCCCGTGTTATTCCAGCATTTAATGTTGCCTCCAAGTTGCAGTGCTCATAAATATTGCAAATATCGCCCACCTTGTTTGGTGTGTGTCTGCATTATTTGCTAAGTGCAGTTTCACTTCTATACCATTTCTTAATAAAAAGTGGCAAACACAAAGACAGATGGTATGAGCACACATAATAGCAGAGAGGTATGGGGATACGGGGACAGGGAGTTCTCTTATGAAATAACAAAGGAAATTTGGGAGGAATATCTTGGCAATATTAATAAATTCTCCATAACTGTTGGATGTGTATTAATCCAATTCAAGGTCATCCATAGACTTAATTATTCAAAATCACGAATACACAAGATACCCCCTGAGGTGTCTTGTAAGACATATGAGAGCAGCTTGTTCCTCTCTCTATGGTCACGGCCAAAAGTTCAGCCATTTTGAAGGAATATATTTGAATTTTGATCAGACTTTTATGCTGCCCCAATGAAACCAGATCCATTGGTAGACATTCTGAGTGTCACACTGAATAAGGCTGATAAATGCCAATAACAGGCAGTTTCATTATGCAGGTTTTAATGAAAAAAAAAAAGCTATACTTCAGAGGTGGAAAGATGAGTCTGTGCCCACCTTTGAAGTGTGGCTTAGGGAACTGAGCGAGGTATTACATTTAAAAGAGTTGATGTATTATTTAAACAAAAAGCCAGTGTCATTTGTTAAAGTTTGGCACCTAATAAAATCCTTTATGACCAATATTGGCTTCCTGTCCATTTTAGAATCGATTTTAAGATTTTAACATTTGTTTTTAAAGCTCTTAAAGGACTTGCTCCACCCTATTTATCCGACCTTCTCACGCCACAAGTCAGAAACAGAACCCTAAGGTCGTCAAACCAGGGTCTGTTGGAGGTCCCAAGGTCCAATTACAAACATTGGGGTGACAGGGCTTTCTCGGTGGCCGCACCCAGACTGTGGAACAAGCTCCCCCCCGACATGCGCACCATCACTGACCTAGGTCTTTTTAAATCAAAACTTAAAACCTTTCTTTTTAAGACGGCTTTTAACACTTAAGATTGTTATGAATATGACATGTTTATTTTGTGTTTTTTTATTGCTGTCCTTTACTGTTGTTCTTTTGCTGTTTTATTTTATTTTATTGTAAAGCACTTTGGTCACCCTCTGGGCTGTTTTAAAGGGCTATACAAATAAACTTTATTATTATTTATTATTATGATATTGGCCAGGGATCTCTATAATCATCAATTATTCTTCATCATACCAGCTTTTTCTTTCTTGTCATAATGATCGTTTTGTTTGGCTGTGCTCTGTGAGCCTTGACTGTCCTAAGTTGTTTGTCATTTATTATTTGACGTGACATACCTGACATCAGAAGTTCAAAGCATATAATTGTAAGTGTAGCCATTTAAACATTAATAGTTTTCCTTTTTCGCCTTGTGGTTTGTTCTCCTCTATGCAATTAACAATATGTTTGAGATAGTTCAAAATTGTTAGGACACTAATCAGTTGGGCCTCATTCCTGAATATGTGCATAGAAATGTTCATACTTTTCACACAAAATAACTGTGAGCGCAAAATCATTGTCGGATTCATGACACGTGCGCACCGGCCAATTTTGTTCTTATTGCATTTTTTAAAAATATCAGATTCAAACTCTTTTCATAACATAACTTCAGCTATCTGGCGTACATGATAGGAGAGACAGAGTGCAGGAAAAAAATGGAGAAACGTACGTGATGGTAAATGAAATGTCACGCATCGACACATATTAGAGCAACGTTACCTTGATAGCTAAAGAAAATAAATTGACATTATGTTACATCACTTGGGAAGTTATCTACAGAAGATTACTTTAACAATTTATTACACACAACAAAACTTCATGACTTTTCCAGAACTTTTCATGATTTTTACTAGGGCTGCCCCCTGATAGTCGACTAAACGTTAGTCAATCAGAAAGGTCATTAGCAGGGCTTGACGCTAACTTTTTTCCCAAGGAGCACATGTGCTCCTAAGTTGAAAAAGTAAGGAGTGCACAAAGAACTTTAGGGGCACAATGTAAATTGATCAAATAATGTGTTTTCTGTAATAAACATGATGCAAATAGACATTTACAAGCAAAATTATTTAATGAATTTGTATACAAAATGTACAGAAAGGTAAAATCATCAAGTTTTGAAAAAGTATTGCAATTTAATTTTGTCTTTAATGTTATTATCTTATATATATGATCTTTGCAATATGATTATCTTATATAATGATATTATCCTAAAACATTCTCCAGGTCCTCTGAAACTCTGCAGGACTTAAGCCTCTTTCACACAGAGCTTTCGCGGTGCCCACCGCGGGGTAGGGCGCAGAGGACAGGATTTGGGGAGTACAGGCTCGTTCAGGAGCTACAGCTCCATGGTGACCGCTTCCGGGTCTACTTCAGGCTCTTCTCTGCTATTGGATGCGCGGCACCGAGGTGTCGTCACAGCGCGTTGCGGTGAAATTAAAAAAAAATTCAATTTGAGCGCAGGCTGGCCGCGCGTGCCTCTCAGCTCGGCGGCAGAGCGGTGCGCTCTTGCGCCGCAGTAGCACATATACAATGAATGGGTTCGTCTGCGGAGGTCTGCGCTTTGCGCGCTCTGTGTGAAAAGGGCTTTATTTCCACCCTGCCCAGCAGCGGTACCGTGGCGAACGGTCCCTAAGGCCTCTACACATGATCAGCTGTAAAACCGCTTTGCGCTGGCTGTCCCATTATTTGTCTATGGAGAGGGCAGCAACGCCTGACAAAGCGGCACAGCTACCCTTGGCGTTGCGCACGATATTCATTGTGCCGACAGTGGCTTGGAAAACCACCCATAACCGTGTCACACGGGGAAGATGGAAGGCGGCTGGAGTTCCTCCAACATTTGCAGTTAGATTATCATATTTTTTTATTGACAAAAATATAGGCTGCTTCAGCTGATTTTTTTATGCGCACATGTGCCCCTAAATATTTTTTACAGTTCGCACACACCTATTTTTAGTCGCAAATGCGAGTGAAACGCTCGCACTGTCGAGCCCTGATTAGTCTGCGAGATTTCATTGGTCACTTAGTCGCAGAAAAATAAATAAATAAACAATCATGAATCTCTACTAGGAGCTGCGCCTTGTCAAAATAAATCAAAACCATGTGGGAATTTAATTTGAAAGGACAGACACAGAAAGTGGCCACGCTCCGCAGTCAGACAGGAGTCAGGTTAATTTCCAGGGCTGGTACCTGCGGTTATTACACAGGCTAGTTAATAACATGTCGGGCAGGAAATCCAAAGTGTGGGATCATTGTGAGAAGGTGAAGGACGAACCCAAGGTGATATGTAAACTCATCTTCACTGGTCGACTACAAACATGACGTATCATCTGAAACATGGAAGTAGCTACATGCCCATTAGCCACTTAGCACAACCATTACTGCTTTGCCGACAGCGTCATTAACAGGTGACTCGCTCAGTGTGTGACGTGCACTTGTTTTGTATTTCTCTGTAATGTAGCACAGTGTTAACAATGTTACTGATACTATTCTTTCTCACACCTTCAACTCAAACCATTGTGTTGCCCCGCCCAAAATATAGAATTCAATGATTAAATTAATATCGTAAACATGCGGGCAACTAATCGACTAATGGCCCTAAATTACAACTATTGGTCGACTTGGAGAAAGTGGTGTTCTAACACAAATCACACATCAGTCAAAGTCTTGGCAGTCAGAAACCTCTGACAAGCCGTTCATCACTCTCTGCAAACATGTCATGTCAGTCTCTGAAGATGCGCCCTTTTCTGAAGGCATGGGCTGCAGTATCTTTCAGCATGTAAGATATCTTAACAGCTGCTTGGACGTCAATCAGAATCTTTTGTATCCTTTATGTACAGTTTCATTGCACTAGAAATTGGTGGGAGTACCCAAGTATTATAGACCAAGTCAATGAAAGCCATGAAAATATTGTTATATTTCAATATGGACACTCTTATATACTGAAACACTATGTTTTATTGCTGAATGTTTTAATTATGACCACTGAATAGGATGAAAGTGCATCATTTTCATAGATATTTAATACATTTGGCCAATGCATTTGTTAGCTAATGGTTTTAAATATTGTTAAGACAGCCGTGCCCTCATCATTAGTGCTTACGCATGGTCTGAGGCAGTTCTAAATTTGATTTGCAAAGTACAAACAAATTCAGTTAAGAAAATATTGATGAATCCCAGATTAAATGATGGTATGAATGGTTTAAGCACAGATTTATGCATACACAGTTTGTGAATGAGGCCCATTGAATCTGTATTTTTATCACAAAAGCATGGTCACACTATCGTCTGAAGTCAGTGTATAATTTCTCATGACAATTTAATGGAAGCAATGAGTTTATTTGAAAAATAAACTGTTGAGGCTACATATATATA